ACCCGCAGGCCCAGTACCCCCAGCAGTAGCACCCCCAGGCTCAGCACCCCCGCGCACAGCACCCCCAGAGTCAGCACCCCCAGGCTCAGCACCCGCAGCAGCACCAGAGTCACCTGTAACCTCGACCGGCACAAGGAAGTCCGGGGGAGGGGGGAGGGAAGGAGTGCGGTAGGGGAAGAGACGGTAGAAGGGGACTGACTCGTCGAACGTGACGTCCTGGGAGGACAGAACACGACGAGAGGAGGGGTGGTAAAACTGCCACCCTGGGGCGTCAGCGAGGAAGCCAAGGAAGACACAGGGAGCGGCACGAGGGGACAGCTTGTCCGCAGACAGGTCGCGGACAAACGCCCGAGATCCCCAGACACGGAACACAGACGCATCGCCAACCTTCCCCGTCCACAGCAGGGCTGGGGACATCGCAGGCCGAGAGACCCGGGGGTGAAGGTTGAGCTGATGCGCTGCGTACCTCACAGCAAACGGCCACAGAAAATGGGGGGCAGCCGCATGCATCATGGACGTACGAGCGACATCCATGACCATGCCAATGCGGCGCTCAGCAATCCCATTTTGCTGTGGTGAGTCCGAAAGCGTGAAGGACTGGCGGATGCCTCGCGCACGACAGTAGGCACGCAGAAGGCCAGAGGAGAACTCTCCGCCTCTGCCCGAGTGCAGACGCAGAACAGGAAAGTCCGAGCCGAAGCTCTTCCTGAGCTGGAGACGAGCCTCGCGGATCCACTCGATCAGCACCTCAGTGACCGCACCCTTGCTGCGCAAGGGGAGGACTGTGGTGTAACGCGAGTAGTCGTCAACCACCAACAAGAAGTAGCGCTCATAACCCTGCCCACGGACGGGGGCTGGGCCCCACACATCCATGTGAAGCGTCTGCAGGGGAGCCTCTGTCGGGGGGAAGTGGGAGGAGTGAGGAGTAGCCCGGAGGCGACCCTCGACACAGGGGACACAGGAAGGTCCTGGCCCGGAGGGGAGAGGAGGGAGAGACTGGGGAAGACCAGAGACAAGGACACGGGAAGCCATGCTCCGAAGACGGGGCAAGGAGGGGTGGCCAAGACGGTGGTGCCACAGGAGAGTCTCGTGAGACAGGAGGCGACAAGTACAGGGGGCAGACTCAGGACCAGACCTGGACGCAGCAGCAAACACCTGACCCGACGCTGCTACCTGACCGGACGCGGGGACAGGAGGAGACTCAGTGGTCAGGGTGTAGAGGCTCGACCCCGGCCGACGCGAGAACGTGGCCAGGTGCCGGCCTGTGCGTGTGTCCGTGCAGTGGGTCACCCGCTGACTCGCAGGAGTGAACTGGTGAACCCCCGCATCCTGTAGGTCTGCACCACTCACCAAGTTCGTCGAGAAAGAGGGGAGGTACAGGCCAGACAGGGTGCCCGAGGGGGCAGCCGGACACGGGAGGACAGTGGAGAAGTGAGCGAGGACAGGACCCCCAGAGGGGTCAGCCAGGGAGACTGCAACTGGCCGACCAAGCGGCGTGAGTGTGGTGCGGTCCCGAAAGAAGGAGCGAGAAGCCCCAGAGTCAAGTGTAAAGGTGAGGGAGGCCGAAGCCAACGCGGTACCTGAGAGCGCAGCCTCACCCGCACCTGAGGAAGCAGACTCACTAGCACCTAGAGCAGCAGCCGCACCTGTACCTGGACCAGGAGACTCACTAGCACCCAGAGCAGCAGCCTCACCAGTAGCTAGAGCAGCAGGTCCTATACCTGGGTCAGGCAGGACGCACAGGTGACCGGCACGGTCAGCACTAGTAGGCAATGCATACATGGCAGTGAGAATAGCATCATAGTCAAGAGCATATATATCTACCCTCTGCCTAAGCAACTCCACCCAGTCGGGAAGCTCAGCCTCGTCGCCAAACACGGTACGCCAGGCGTCGCTCAGACGGGCGAAGCAGCGGGACGGTGTATGACTACGTGTCCCACAAGGCTGACCAGTCCGAGTACCAGTGCGAATCACGTAAGAGCAGCGAACAGCACTGAGAGACCCTCCACTCTGAGCGTACCACTCACGAAGCTGGCGAGGCGTGAGAGACACGCGAGAGGGTCGCGGGAGCTGCATCTGGCCGCCACCACGAGTAGAAGCAGCAGGAGTGGTAGTAGGAGTAGCGTCGCCACCCCTACAGCCCCAACCAGCGTACCACTCACGCAGCTGCTGGGGCGTGAGGGACTCACGCCGGCGTCGCTGGGGCTGCATATGGCTCCGCAAGTAGAAGCAGGAGCAGGACTAGCAGCAGGGAGGCAGGCAGCCAGGCAAGCCAAAAGGCAGGCAGGCAGGCAAGCAGGCGACGCGCAGCGTGCTAGCAGGGCAAGAGCTCACCAGTGGTGGGAAGAGTAGGCTCGGCGTCTCAGCGGCTCGGCAGCTCGGCGGCTCGGCGGCTCGGGTGACTCGGGCGGCTCGGCGGCAAGGCGGCTCAGCAGCAACTGCAGCTCAGCAGCTCGGTGACTCGGCGGCTCGGCGGCAGGGCGGCTCGGCAGCAACTGCAGCTCAGCAGCTCAGCGACCCGGCGGCTCGGCGGCAGGGCGGCTCGGCTGTGGGGCGGCTCGGCTGCTGCAGGTGAGCGGCTCGGCTGCTGCAGTGGGAGAGGAAGGAGGAGGAGAAGCAGGGGAGGCCACACACCTGCCACCCCTCTGCTGCGGCCCCCGAAGGAGCCGCGACGGGCGACGGGAAAAGGGGGGGTGGGTGGTGGGGGGCCGGTAGGTGCAGCGGCGGGGCCAGCAGGTGCAGTTGCGGGGCCGGTAGAAGGGGACGGCAGGAGCCGTCAGGAGGGGACGGCGGGGCCGTCAGGAAGGGACGGCGGTGCCGTCACGAAGGGACGGCGGGGCCGTCAGGAGGTGACCGGGCCGCGACGGGGGCAGGCGGCGGGGCCGCGTAAGGGCCTGGGCGGGGCCGCGACAGAGCCGTCGGCGGGGCCGCGTGAAAGCCGGGGCGGGGCCGCGTAGAAGCCGGGGCGGGGCCGCGCGAGAGCAGGCGGCGGGGCCGCGAAGGAGCCGGGGCGGGGCCGCGTGAGAGCAGGCGGCGGAGCCGCGTAAGGGCCTGGGCGGGGCCGCGACAAAGCCGTCGGCGGGGCCGCGTGAGAGCCGGGGCGGGGCCGCGTAGAAGCCGGGGCGGGGCCGCGCGAGAGCAGGCGGCGGGGCCGCGAAGGAGCCGGGGCGGGGCCGCGTGAGAGCAGGCGGCGGGGCCGCGACAGAGAGGGCGGCGGGGCCGCGTCACTGAAGGCGGCGGGGCCGCAGGGGAAATGGCGACCCGAGGGGTCGCTAAAAAAAAAGATCGCGCCTCGGGGGGCGCTTCGGTGGGCCCAAAAAAACGGTCCGTAGAAGGACCCGCTCTATACCATGTGAGAATAAGCGAACAGGAATGGATCAACTAGAAGTGAAAAGAGTACAAGTAGTAAACCCTAGAATTGTGTACCCCCTATAGGCTAACCCACTGTAGCCTACACAAGTATAACATATATAATGTTTGACATTGTTCGCCTGCACGGGATACCAGCAGCGATTATCAGCGACAGGGACACGAAGTTTACCAGCAACTTCTGGAAGAACCTTTGGGAGCAGTTCGGGACCAGGCTACAGTTCAGTTCGTCGTACCACCCCGAGACCGACGGCCAAACGGAGCGGACGAATCTGACGATGGAGCAGTTGATTCGTGCCACGTGCGACGACCCCACGACCTGGGAGCAGCAGCTGCCGCTGATCGATTTCGCGTACAACAACGCCACGTCAGCCACGACGCAGCAGTCCCCGTTCTACCTGAACTATGGGCAAAACCCCACAGTGCCCATGACGCCGAGTCCGGACAACCCAACGCCACGTGCACAACAATTCGCCGAAATCCTGCAAGCTGCCCGCACCAGAGCCGCCGAAGCAATAAAAAAAGCCAACGTCATCGCTAAACGCAACGCTGACCGCCACCGACGCCCTGTCACGTATCAATCTGGAGATTACGTGCCGCTCGACACGCAAAATCTGCGACTGCCCGACGTACCGAAATTACGACCGCGCTACTGTGGACCATTCCAAATCAGTCACATGATCACACCCGTCACCGCACATCTACTGTTGCCAACCGACTGGTACATCAGCCCTTCGTTCCACGTCAGCCTACTTCGCCCATACATCCCGACCACAAGTCAACTGCCGCGTCACTGCCCACAATCAATGACTCGCCCTGCATCGGAGCCGATCATCGAGCCCGAAAAAATCCTGAGCCATCGGATCCGCCACCCCACGGGAATCAGGAGGATTGAATTCCTCGTTCGCTGGAAGGACCGCACGCCAACTGAAGATAGCTGGGTACCCCTGACCAACATTGAAAAACACCCTGCCCTGCAAGTGTACCTGAGGAGCCGGGGATTCCGCGATATACACGCACTCGCGTAGCGGAGGGGGCTTCTTAAGGGGGGGGGTAGTGTAAGGAATTTTCTCGGCATTCCTTACGGAGCCGACTACATCGCGTACAGCAACAGCCGTTGTTCGCCCGTTACTGCTAACGGGACTTCGCTGACTTCGCGCGCACTGTTTTGCCAAACCTCGCACTGCTGGCATGGCCGTATCGGCCTACGCTTCGGGACTAGCCCGAGCCTCGCTCCAGCGTAGCACTAGCAAGCTCGCACGCACCGCGTTACCGTTTTGCATGTTTCGTGTATATATGTTCGCTCATGCCTTCGCTCACATTTTGTACTCGTTTGACACCTTAGTGCAATTCTCGCTACTTTGATTCATTGCACCCGTAACACATACCTATAACATGAATTCATTCACTACAGAGCTGGTCATCACTCCATGATTCAGTCAGATAAAAAATACCTACAGTATGTACCAGCAGCTAATTACGTCCCTGCAAACATGAAAGAAAATTACATGTGATGTACGTAACAAGGCACATGAAGGAGAGAACGGGACTTCTGAGTCATAACAAGGCACATGAAGGAGAGAACGGGACTTCTGAGTTGTACGTGCCCACTTGCTATCATGCTGTTTACCTTAAATTGCCAATTCCAAGCTTGAACCGTGTGCAACCTTTTCCTCAGACACTACATGGTCGGGGTTAGGTTGCAGCAAGCCCTGATCTGCCGAAATGCTGTCACTGCCAACTGGTCTCTTCTTCTTAATGACTTTCTTCACCTTCATACCACCAACGCCCTCTCCATCACTCACATCCCCCTTGTCTCCGCTGCCATCGCTCTTCTTTGAGCCCAGGGGCGCCTTCTTCCCTTTCTTCACTGTGGCCCCATTCTTCGCCACCCGCTTCACTTCCCCACCATCACCAGCTTCATCGCCAACACTGTCAACAGTCTTCTTAACCACCTTCTTCTTCCGCTTCTCAACCGCTTTACCATTAGCATCCGGCCCCACCCGCTCGCTCATTGCCGCATCAACCCCACTTGCCTCATCACCACTTGCCTTACCCACTTCCCGCACTCTCTGGCCTTTCTGCTTGCCCTTTCCATTCCCCATCCCCTTGCCCTTCACCTTTTTCACACCGTTCTCCTTGTCACTGTGCTCATAAGCATCTCCGCTTTCCGTCATCCCACCACCACCACTGCTCTTCTTCCCCTTCACCGTTTCCCCACCAGCTGCCTCCTCCTCCCCTGCACTCGCACCCGCACCATTCTTCTTCTTCACTCGGCCGCTGCCTGTGCCCACTTTCTTCTTGACCTGGCCACTGCTCTCTCCACCAACCGCCTCCTTCCTCACCTTCTTCTCACAGTCACCCGCTTGCACCGCCCCTCCATCCGTCACTTCCCACCGTGCCCTCCCCTCCCCAGGCTCCTTCCTTGCGCCTGTTCCTTTCTTGCCGCCGTCCCCTTCCCCTTTGAACCGCTGCAAGCGCTCCCCGCTTCCAGCAGCATCAGCAGCATCAGCATCAGCAGAAGCGGCAGCAGTAGCACCAGCAGTAGCACCAGCAGCATCAGCGGCACTAACACTTCCAGATCGGACCTCCCAAGCAGTGCCCTTGATGCCCTCACTGCCCGAGTACCCATCCATCAGCCTCTGCTGCAGCCACCGCTCCACCCCCACCATCTTCTCCTGCTTCTGCACATCATCACCCCCATTCCCGGACACTGACACGCTCCCCCTGCGCTCCCGAGCCCAGGCGCGTACCGCCGCTGCCACATCATCAGCCACATCCTCCCCGCTCCCCTTTCCGCCTTTCCCTGGGGACCTCCCCACGCCAGCAGCCACCGCTGCTGCGGCTGCCGCTCCCCTCCCCACCATGCGCGCTGACCCCTGCTTCCGCCCGCCCGAGTGGTTCACAGGCGGAGCAGCGGAAGGGGACGTTGGGGTAGCCTGGGGCTCGGGATGCACTCTGTCAGGCCGATCAGGCCGTTCAGGCCGATCAGACCGGCCTTTGCCCTTGCTTGTGCTCTTCCCCACGCCATTGGTCCTCGCCTTGCGCTCCTGCGCGTTCATCATCTGCCTGATCTGCATTGGCGTCGCGTCTCCGGGTGTTGCAGACCACGTGGCACGCCCCTGACGGTCGGATTTACGACGCGAGTCCTCTGCATCGTCCGATGCGTAGCCCATGCCTCTGGTACTAGTGGCAGAATCAGCCTCTTGCTTTCTCATGCTGCTCCTTCCTCTAGTGGTAAATCCATCCTCTGCTCCTTCCGCAGCCCCCCCCCTGCTCGTTCCATCCACCCTCTCCGCGCTCATTCCGCCAAGCACCAAGAAGCTGCCCCCCGCGTGCCCTCCCCCGATGCTTGCCCACCGCTTCCGCCGAGACTGCCCCCCTCCGCTAGCACCCTCACTCGCAGCGGGGCTGGCGGGGACGGAGGAAGCGCCGTACGAGTCCCACGGCGCGGGGACAAAGGCCCCAGAGTGAGGGGAGGCGGAGGCGGAAGTGGAGCCTTGTGCGGTACGGGGAAGCCCATACTGCGGAGTGGATGGGGCAGTGGAGGCACTGAGGGGAGCGCGACCTGCAGAAACCACTGCGGAAAAACCGGTAGCAGCAGCAGTCGCGGTGATCGAGTGGAACAGTGTGCGCGGCGTGACGTCGGCGGCTAACGGGGAAGGCGCAGGGTTGAAAGCGGAGGGCGTGTTGATGGTGTGGAGTGTTCTGGTGGGGGTGACGAGGTTGGGGGTGCCACTCACACTCGTAGCACCGGCGCCTGTGGCAGTCCCCCCCCCCGTTGTGCCGCTAGTGCCGTTAGTTCCGCTAGTCCAACTAGTACCTTCAGTGCGGCTGGTGCCGCTAGTCCCAGTCGTGCCGCTTATGCCGCTCGTGCCGCTAGCGACGCTACTCGAGCTCGAGCCGTTCGTACCGTGATGGGTCGCAGCCAGCGCGGAAGGCTTACCACTCGTCCAGGCAGACGCGCGGCTCGCCGTTTCGTGCTTAGCGTGGCCTGCCAAGGCATTGGCAGCAGCGGCAGTGGCGGCGGCTGCGGCGGAGGGAGAGGAGGCGGAAGCGGAGGGGGAAGTGGCGGAGAAAGAAGCGCTCCCCATGAAGGCGCGCTTGAGCAGGCTCACGGACGCGCTCAGCTTGCGCAGAAGCCGGCCGCCCTTCTTCTCCGCCGACTGGGGAGTCGTCGGCGCTGCCGTTCCCGGCCCCGTCCCCTGCTGCGCTGCGCCTGACGCCTGACTGCCGCCTCCCACTGCATTGTGCTTCCGCACAACCGAGTCTTCCATGGCTCTCCGCTCGTCGTGGACTCTGGATCCGCGCACAGAAGCTGCTGCCGGTGCTGTCAGCAGCAGACATTCGTCCTTGTGTGAATTGGCTTCCCTCCTCTTCTGATCTTTTGCCGTCGAATGTTGAAAGCCGTGCGTATCCTCTCCGAAATTGCTCTGCTGCTGCGGCTGCTCCTTGCGTTTCTCTTCGAGATTCCGCTCCAGACCCTTCTCTACCTTATCGTCCAATTGTGGCATCTCCTCCTTGGTCTCTTCCCCCGCCACGATTCGCTTCTTACTCGTGTCCCTCGGCGGCGTCTTGAGGACCCCCGTCTCGTGGTCCACAATCTCAACCACAACTGGCGGCGCCACTTCCGCCGCTGTCGCGTTACTCTCAATCACGGACTCCTTCTGCGGCTGCACGCCAATGGCGGCTTCCGACTCGGCGGCCATACCAGCGCAGCGAAACGCGGCAAGCTCCTCCTCCGAGAACAACGCCTCGTCGTCAAGTTTCAGGGTCTGCCGGATATCAACCGGCCGCTGCCGCTCGTTTGGCTGCCGTTGCTTTTGCTGCCGTCCAATTCCCTGCCGGCCATCTGATCTGCCAGCGGAGGCCCCCGAGCCGCGACTGCTGGCGGCCTGGCCGGTAGTGGAGGGATGCCCGCCGTGAATGGTGGAGGTATTGGGACGAGACACCACGGACGTGTCAAGCGAACGTGACATGTTCGAATTGGTAGATGAACTGCTTATGGTACGAGGAACGTTGCCGCCATGGGTAGTGGCACCGCTAATCCTGCGAGCAGCGAGAGGCCCCGAGGAAGAAGAGGATAACCCCAGGGAGTTACGACGGGAGTCGGTGTACGAACGAGAGGCGTGATGCGCGAATGGTCCGGCGACGTTATCGGATGAGAGGGAGCGGGTGAGCGTGGGACCGGTGTTCATTCGCGACACGCCGGTACCCATCATGGTGGACCGCGCCGCCCGTAGCTCCCGCGCGCGCTCGATCTGCTCTCTCCGACGGAGAGCATACTCGGTCGGGTCGAACGTGCGGGCAGCGGTCGACGCGGAGGAGGAGTCGACATGAGATGCCCGCATGGCGGATGATTCTGGAATGCCTGCGCTGAGTCGATATGAGATGTCGAAATAGCACCAAGCTGATACGACGGTTCGCTTTCCGGGATGAATCTGAGAGGAACGGCACTACATTATTCTTGCATGTGGGTTGCTTGCACGGGCTGAGAAAAACAACGACCAGCTCGAAGGCAATGCTGGTTTTGGATGTCCTTGCGCTGCTTGGGACGGGAAGGAACTGGCAGGCTTCAGTGAGAAATTGGAGTCTGCCGAAACGCCAATCACCAAGCAGAACTGACCATTGTTTCTTGACATTCACAGCACCCCACCCAATCTGACTTTTTGGCCTTCAGATGCGGCGCGGTCCGGAGCGCATTCTTGAGCCCCTCTGGATTGCAAACCCAACAGGAGAGACAAGCAGGCGAAAGCCCTTTTTTGAGCGAGATTCGTGCATGTGGGGGAGTCGATAAATCCGTTGGTGAAAAGTTGCGCGGCCATTATCTCCAATACTCAGATTTCGCTGGAGCGCATTCTCAGGTGTAATTAACCTGGAATTCCTCAACGTTTATTGGGCATCGTTTTTTAGTCACATTTCTCCCGCTGGTCAAACTCTTTTGGAAGTGACAAAAACAGGACCGTCCAGTTTATCTCCCGACTTGGATATGTTTCATCATACGGAAATTTAGGTAGTAAGAGTATGAAGCCCATACAATTCACTTGGTAGCGATCGGTAGCGCAACTGAGCGCTAAACGACGCTACCGAAAGCACTAGACGACGCTACCGAGAATTGTTAGGGCATACCAGAAATAATAAAACCCATTTTCGAGAGAGGTCAACCCTAAACACAAGAAAAGGCGTTTTTTTTTTTTTTTGGTTGATGCCGTCCGAGTCACATCCCTTTCCGATTGGGTTGCAATATACATTTCTAAAACTTTGGACGGCTTTCCGTATTAGGGGTTGATCCGTCCCGTAATTCATCTAGGTTTCGCTCAGTTTTTTTTTTTTAAATTGTTTTTTTGCACGCGTTGCAATTTTGTTTAGTGACTGTATACAAAAAACAACCAGAATAGCTTGACACTATATCGCGAAACCATGTTTCTGTTGGTGATTACACCTGAGAACCCTCTCGGGCCTAATCTGAGTATTTATGATATTGGCCGAAAGTTGCGAGGTAGGGCTTCGACACTGGTCCGTTTGGGCTTGTGCTATTGGCGCGGAAAATTTGGTGCAATTTCTGCACCCGCTGTGCGATGATACGATGTAAATCGTTGTGTTTTCTCACACTACACACTTACGTACCTAACTGCAACATGCCACCCAAGCCAAAGAAAACTTCTCTCTGATAAATATCTAGACGCAGATAATATATGTAGTCATTGAACAATATTGTCATATGTAAATTTATAGCAACCCTTCCTAAGGTATAGTTTCACATAAATGATTTGTTCAATAGAAATGTCATCGTGGAGGAAGGAAAAGATAGTGGTGATATATATTGTTTTCTGAGGAAAAATCTTGATTACTTGCATCACATTGGCGGAGGCATTGTTGTAGGTTAAGGTATAATAGAGTGAGCATTCTAGTTAACTTAACGAAGAAGTATTACAAGGATGGTGAAAAGTGCTGGGTCTTTCCATCAACCACATCCAACAATCCTGCCTGATCAACTTTCAGTCAATCACCCTGGTATTGCCAAGGCCAGCCTAACTCATTGAGGCTTTGAGTCACAGACGAAGTATTTCGTCAGTCAGGATTCGCAATCCGCCAGTGTGTAGAAGAGGGGCGGATATACCCTTCGTGGCTCTGATTAAATAGCAATGTCTATCTTCGCGAAAATAAAGGCCGTCGATTTCTACCGGTGGGTTTGCCATCCACTTCGTAAGGCCAATCGGAAACTGAGCATACCTCCCGATGTTTTTGCTTGTGCCCAGCTTAAACCTAGTACACTCCGTCTCGTGCATTAACCCCCATACCTACGCCCTTTGCCGCGAATTCACAACTATTTCCACCCACATTTTCCACCTCCTGAAACCCTAAACTCAAGCCTTCGTTCTCCCTGTCCTCATCACCACCATTGCCTGATTTCGAGTCCGCATTGTCCTGATCCTTCTTATCCTTCGTCTGATTCTTCGTCTACGGATTGGCAGGCGAATACCTCGCGACCTGACAGAGGCATCGCTATCCGGGGCTACCCTATCGCTGGTCGCCGCCACATGGATCATCGTGCTCGTCTGGCTCGTAATCCACTCTCCCCTTTCCTTTCTCAACCTCTCTCCACTCTGCAAGCTCTCCTTATTCTCTCTCTCTCTCCCTCCCCTCGTGCCTCTTGTGCCCTTTCCTCCTGGACTCTCGGCTTTGTTTCATATTTCAGCAACCCTCATCCTAGACTCGGCATTCCTCCAACCCCCCCCCCCCCCCCCCCCCCCCCCCCCCCCTCCGTTCCTTGTAGTTCCTCCCTCAGCATTCCCCCCTCCTAGACTCGACATCCCCTCGGCATTCCCCCTCCGCCCTCCCCCCGCATCATCCGTGTCCTCCCTCAAGCCTACCTCATTGTATCTCCCTCGCTCTGCGTGCGCGTGGTCACCTGCATGCATGGTGACACGCGTGTCCCCCCCCACCCCCACTCTGGGCGGCATCAGGAGCTGCGGGTGTTTCTGACGGTGACAACGAGCACCACGGTCATCGTGGATCAGAGCCCCAACACCGACCTGCTGCGCATCAACTTCAACTTCAGGCAAGCAACCAACCCCACCACACCCCACCCCAACCCCACCACACCACACCCCACCCCACCCCACCTCACCCAGCCTCTTCACTTTTGAGGCTTCTCCAGCCTCTATCCGTTGGACTGCTGTTCTTGCTCTTCCGCCGCCCGTCCTACAACACAAGCAAGGGCCCATACCAGCCATACGTGGCTCTCCATTCATCTCGCCGTCACTCCCTTCTCTCTACCTGCCCCCCACGGATTTCCCATGCTCGCCTGTCTGCAGCTTCCCAGCGCTCTCCTGCGAGTTTGCATCGGTTGACATTACAGACGTCATTGGCACGGTATGCTCTCTCTCTCTCTCTCTCTCTCTCTCTCTCTCTCTCTCTCTCTCTCTCTCTCTCTCTCTCTCTCTCTCTCTCTCTCTCATCTCAACTGCTCGTGCGCTTTGCACGCCAAACAGTGCACCAAGGAAGCAGGTAAGTACCACATAATACACAGGGAACACTACGTGACGCCACTGCCTCACATGAAGCATGCCATTCCAATCTCCAGGTATACTGGGTGGGAGGGAATAGGTGGCTAATCAGGCTGATGACATCACTGATTGCAGCAAGCAACTGAGAAACACGTCTCAGCGGGCCTCAAACCCTTTGACTGGTAGCATGCCTCTTCTGCTCCTTAGTCTGCTGCACACTTTGACTACTCACCCCCAAGCTTTACCTTCTCTCCCCCCCTATCCCCGCCAAACCCCCCTCTCCCCCTATCCCCGCCAAACCCCCCTCTCCCCCAATCCCCGCTAACCGCCCCTCTCCCTGCACCTCCCACCCCTTGGCCCTCAGGCGCGGTACAACCTGTCGCGCACCCTGCGCAAGCACCCCATCGACTCGTCGCTGCGGATTGTGGGGCCACAGCACCACCCGGACCCCATACCCGAGCTGATGCGCGGGGGCAATGAGGGGGGCGAGGAGGAGGAGGCGCAGAGGCAGCTGGCGGAGGAGGGCATGGCGAGTGGCGGGGAGGCGGGTGAGAAGCAGTATGTGGGGTCGCTGGTGCTCGATACAAGGACGTTTGAGCCCGCTACCAGACAGTGCGTCGCTCCTCTCGCCCTGCTCCCACCCATGCCCTGCAAGCCTGCTACTGCCGTGTCCTGCTCCTTGCCCTGCTGCTTGAATTGTTTCTTGCCGTGCTCTGCTTTACCTGCGCTTTCCCCATCAGGTCAGTTCTGTTATTGCATTGCACCATTGTCATCAAGTACCACACTTGTGCGTGCACTGCACGCCCTTCCCTTGTGTTCGTCTGTACTCACTGATATCTGACCCTTTACCGTCCGTTCCTCTCCCTGCTTTTGTCACTGCAGGTACGGCATCCTCATTGTGAACTTCTTTGCGCCGTGGTGCCACTGGTGCCAACTCCTGGTACGCGTAACGCAACCACGCACTCACCGACCCACCCACCCATCCACCCACCCACCCATCCACCCACCCACCCACCCACCCACCCACCCACCCACCTACCCAGCCCTGCTGTTAATGCCCATCTTCTCTTGCCACCCACCCACCCACCCACCCACCCACCTACCCAGCCCTGCTGTAAATGCCCATCTTCTCTTGACAGTGCATCGTCCCGTTACTGGTACCTGCCATGCCTGCTCTGCCTTTATCTGCCCTCTGCCTGCCTTGGCCCATTGCAGGAACCAGCATGGGAACAAGCAGCAACAGTCATGAGCCAAAAGTAAATCGGGCTTTGCCCCTCCTCCCCTCCTCCTCGGCTCTTTCTTTGTCTCCTGCAGTTTACCACCTCTAGTCTACCTTTTTTCCTCGTCTTCCTCCCCTCCCACACTGCACACGTCCCTCTGTCTGTCACCTTGAGCTCTCTGCATTGCTACGTTCTCACTCCTCAATCTCAGCACGCCCTTACTCATTCTTCCGCTCACACCGTTTCCCCATTCCTTCTCATCTCCACGCCACGTGCCCCATCCACTCTCCTTGCCATCTTCCACCCCCTCCCCCTCTCCCCATCCACCGCACTTCTCATATTCCCTACACCTTCCCCTCGTCCCTTGCCTTTCCCGCGCCCGTCTCCCCTCCTCTGTCACCCACTAGGTATCATCCGGATCATGATGGGCGCATTCGCCTTGCCAAGGTGGACTGCACTCTCGATTCCAACCTCTGCTTCAGGTGGGCCTGTGGCTGAGTGGCTGGTGAGAGGCGTGCCAGGTGCGTGGGCGTGGGGTTGTGTTGTGTTGTGCTGTGTTGTGTTGTTGTGAGTTTTTTCAGGCCAAACTCTGGCCAAGGTGGACTGCACTGCACTCTCCATTCCAACCTCTGCTTCAGGTGGGTTGGTGGTGCACTGCAGACTTCTGTAGATATACAAATGTTGTGCATGTACATTTGACTGCGTTTGTGTGGCGTGGAATGTTGTGTTAGAGCATAGCAATATTAACCCGCACAATCTGCAGTTTTCGTACCACTTGAAGCTTCCAGGCTCCTCTGTGGATTAACCCGTCTCTCCATCCATCCATGCATGCATGCATGCATCCATCCATCCATCCATCCATCCATCCATCCATCCATCCATCTATCCATCCATCCATCCATCCATCCATCCATCCATCCATCCATCCATCCATCCATCCATCCATCCATCCATCCATCCATCCATCCATCCATCCATCCATCCATCCATCCATCCATCCATCCATCCATCCATCCATCCATCCATCCATCCATCCATCCATCCATCCATCCATCCATCCATCCATCCATCCATCCATCCATCCATCCATCCATCCATCCATCCATCCATCCATCCATCCATCCATCCATCCATGCATCCATCCATCCATCCATCCATCTATGCATGCAGCCATCATGTGCAGGGTTACCCCTCCATCCGAGTCTTTCGCAAAGGGGACGATTCAATCATGTGAGTCATCGTAATTCAACCATCTCACTCCTGCTCATGACATATGTGCCTGCCGGGGGGGACAAAGCGACACGCCATGGCATCACATAGCGATGCATGCTATTGCATAGTATGGTATGGAACAAATCGCGGCAACGGGAGCCGATACCATGGATGGATTGGGATGGCATAGGACGTGATGATGGGGTGTGGTATTTGGACTACTATCAAGGTTTTTATGATGCGTCGGCGGTGCCTTTTGATCCGGTCCGGTCATGTAACGTGGCTTGTTCGGTTGGGCTGCTTGGGGGGGTGCATTGCATGTGTGGCATGGCTTGGTGCAGGATGGAGCATGGGCAGCACGAGCATGAGTCATACTATGGTGAACGCGACACCCTCTCCCTCATTGCTGTGAGTCACCTCACCTCACACCCCACACCCTCACCTGCACTTACCTGTCACTCGCCCCGCCCACCCACACACAGCCCCAAAACGGCCCACAAACGGGCACACAGTCAGTCACGCCACACACAGCCTCTGCATTCGTGCTGCACTCTCCTCCATCCTCTCATCTCTGCCACTTCAACACACCATCACCACCACCCGCCCTACCCCCCTGTTACCTCCCCCATCCTTGCTATCCCTCATCTCCCCCACATCCCCATCATCTCCCTTTGCACGATCTCCCTCCTCTATCTGCACCCTCCCGCGCCTCCCATTTCTCCCCTCTCCCCCTCCCACCCTTCTCTGCCCCTGCAGTTCTCCGAGTCTCTAGTAGCGGCCGCACAGGCGCGAGCAGCAGCGGCAGCAGCAGCAGCAGGAGGGGCGGCGTTACCTGGCGGCGATCCTGCAGCGGAAGCATCTGATCCGAACCGCCGCCGTGCCCCACAGGCTGCAGGCTGCCAGATAGAGGGCTTTGTGCTCGTGAAGAAGGTGAGAGGGCTGGTTGTGAGGCGCCTCAACAAGAACTAGGAGAATGTTTGAGGCGTCTCAGATTCAGACGGTTCTGGAGGCGCCTGATGAATAGGCCCACAGGCTGCAGGCTGCCAGATAGAGGCCTTTTATTGCGTTGATGCTCGCTCCTACGCTCACACAAGGCCTCTCTGAAGAAGCAACAGTTTCCTTACCTCCCTCGATAAGCGCTTATCCTGCTCCGATTCGACTGGATCGAATCACAAATGAACGGCCCCCCTTGCTCTTATCTCCCCGTCTTTATACAAACCTGTCGTGCATATCGTTTCCCTACTGAATGTTTTCCATCTCGTGGTCATGCCATTGCTCCTGTGGTGCATTGCATGCACCACACGCACATGCGAGCGAGCGTGCAGAAACACACATGCACGCCCCCTCTCCCACTCCCCCCCCCCCCCCCCCCCCCCCCCCTCCTCTCCCCCCACCACCACACACACATGTGCACACCTCTACACCCACCAGGTACCAGGCAACCTGATGGTGCATGCCAACTCCCCATCGCACTCCTTTGACGCGGCCGCCATGAACCTCTCACACGTGGTGCACCACCTGTCGTTCGGCCGCCAGCTGTCGGAGCGCAAGCGGCAGCACCTGGAGCGTTTGCAGCCCATGCTGCACCTCAGCAACGGGCGACTCAACGACCGCTCCTTCACCTCGCAGCATGAACGAGTCACCGTCAGTCATCCCTCTGAAACCCCTTCCTATCCTTCCTAACCTTTCTGCCTGTCTCCAGCTCTGCTGTCTTCTCCCGCTCCTCAGCTTTTATAATCCCTGAACCCCCGTCCCCTTCCACTCTCATGGCGCCCGGTTCAACAACTCCTCCTTCGCTTCACATCTGAGTCACTGTCAGCTATCCGCCTCTCCCCTCCCTCTACCCTCTGTGTCCGCATCCCCCCTTGGCCATATCCCGCCTCCTCTCCCCCTCTCCCCCCTTCTCGCCCCCCATCAGCACGAGCACTTTCTGCAGCTGGTGCTGACAGAGGTGCGGCGGCCGTCGTTCCTGGCGACTGCAACGCTGCCAGCCAGCACGAGCAGCACGAGGCGCGAGTGGAGCAAGCATGCGCTGCACGCGTTTGACTTCACCGTGCACAGCCACACGCTCGAACGCCCCGATGACCTGCCTGCTGCTCGCTTCCACTACCTGCTCTCGCCCATGCAGGTGTGTGTGGAAGGAGGGGTGCGGGAGGAGGAGGGGGGAATGGGGAAAGTGGGAGGAGAGGGAATGGATTGTGTTTGTGCATGCACACACGCACGGACACCTGTGCTTGTTTGTGTGCGTGTGTATGCTTACAAACATCGGGTCTTGCATGTGTGCGAGCATTTGACTACCCCTTCGTATCGGCATACTTGATATGTGGTCCTCATGCATCATAACCATTGCATATTGAACTTCATGGCCTATCATGTGAGCTTCAATCATTATTTTAGAAGCCTCAAAAGCATCAAGCTTTTTCATGTACGATCATGAGCTAGCGCACGTGATACAGTTTCGTGCAACCCCACCCTCTTGTGTGCCTTCCTTGTGCAATCCTGCTCTCCAGGTGGTTCTTACTGAGACCAGGCCTTCCCTTGCCGCCTTCCTCACCAATCTTTGCGCCATCATTGGAGGAGTCTTCACGGTCAGTTTATATGTTGCACTACAACAACCCGCCCCCCCCTTCCCTCCCCCTCTCCTCCCCCCCCCCCCCCCCCCCCTCCCCCCCTCCTGACCCCTCACCCCCCACCCCCTCCCGCCCTCTTTTTCAATCGGAATTTTGTAGTTATTTGGGGATAAATACATGTATGGTATGCACACATGCACGCGCACGTATTCACAGACACACACACATGTAGTATGCTGTGCACGCATCAGGGTGCATCTGTTTACACTTGCATGGACCAAATGGGTGTGATTGGTAGTTCGTCCATGTATCCGAATCCATTTTGCATGGAGCTGGTAATTGCATTTCTGTCTCCTAGCCCCATCACATCCACTTTATGACACCTCTTTTTTCCGAATACATTCCTTGTGCGTCTAGGTTGCTGGTATTGTGGATGGGATGCTACATGGTGCGGTCCGTGTGGCCAAGAAAATTCAACTTGGAAAGCATTCCTAGAGTAAAAAGGTTACCATGTTTTTGTTAACAATTATGCAATTGTGGTTCCTCAAGATTCCGCAGGAAATGTGATTTTTATGTTTCTTGAGTGGTAGGAGCTGAAAATCTGGCAAGCACATCCAGTTAGTGCAACTATCAACAACAAAAAACTGTGATCTTGTAATGGTCGCTCAAGCATTACTATGGAAATGGGATGTGTCTTAAAAATGTGTCGTAGATTAGAGCAAAGTTTGACACAAATGTTTTAATGCACCCGATTTGACATGGGAGGTGTGGTGTTACAAGTCATGTTTCAGGATGGTAAGTATCAGAATATCGGTTCTATAATTCTCAAGGCATGTTTCTTCTACTGTACCGGTTGTTGTGACATGGGAACTGTAATGGAGCACGCCCTGCCATGGTTTTTGTACTGCGAGTCAAACCTCTTTCGTGCTTATTTGTCGTATGCGCGTTGTACGCGGAGAGGCATTCCCCAGGGGGGAATTGGATGAGCTTGAAAGCTAACAGATACTGTAGGCTGTGCTCGACAGGTGTGGGCGTTGGGACCTGGTTTCGTGTTTTCCAGGTCAAGACTTTCTGGATTTCGTGTTTTCCAGAAGTTCCAAATCCAGAAAGGAACATCTGCTGTTACCAGGCGGTAAAGCTCGTTATTAAATGCGACCCTTGGCGACCTCTGCTGTAATTTAGGTACGAAACATGCTTTGGACAACCACAAAGGAATAGCGCCCTGCTCTCCCGTTTTTTGCCACACGAACCGTTATGTTGATTTGCAGTTGCGCGGGAAGCAGGCTCCAGCAGAGCAGAGCAGCAGCACCAGGTGAGCGAAAATATGAGGGAGGGAGAGCGGGCGTGGAGTTGAGCCAACCAATCCCGACAGAGGGGGCCCCCAAACCAACCTCAAGGGAGTCAGGTCTGGCGGCTCCTTTAAGCTGCTCCACCACGTTGCACAAACGAGAGTCATTTATAATGCAGCAGTAACACACATGTCTACCGAAGCGCGTCGATTTTTCGTCAAGTCAACGAGGTTTGCGGCGCTCGCTGCGCCCTGCTGTATTGACGAGTAGCTAGACTCAGAACGGCAACCACGCTTCAACTTTTCTGGTCCACTCGAGTGTTGAGATGGATTAGGTTTGTGATTTTTGTTTTCCTCGTATATTTCTTACGCATAGGCCGGCAACGAGACAGAGGGTCCAGGAGTATTAACGGGTGGTTTAGAGGCTAGGAGGGATAGTGGTTGGTCTGCCGACAGCGTCGAATGTTTTGAATGGCTTAGGTCATGTTGATGTCTACGCGGCGACAGTTGTGTACTGTACTTCCCAAAGCGCGGCAAGTCCGCTACCAAACAGTCTTGAAAGTGACTGCATCCTAGCTCTTAATCCCTCTACAATGTTCGCGGGTCGTCTCTTATTCGTCCTTCACCGCTCGTCCCATCATAATGGCTTGGTTCCCGGCCTGCAATGACCAGTCTTATCACTCATGACCGGGCGCGTTGATGCTTTAGAACGCTGAGGCACAGGGATGGTGTTACAACGAATCACGACGAATAACAACGAATAACAGCGAACCGCCGCGGGAGGGGCCGAAGGCTGATAGTCGTCAGGGAAACGCGAGAAATGTTGCAACAACGGGAATGCCGCGCTTAAGCGACCGTGAGTGACGCTTACACTACTGCAGGCAACAGACGACATTAAGGGAAGAACGCGATAGAGGGGGGCGAGTGTGGCAGGGAGGAGGAGGAAAAGAGAAGTGGGACCTTTAGGAGGAAGAGGAGGAAGAGGAAGAAGGGGAGGAAGAGGAGGAAGAGGAGGAAGAAGAGGAAGAAGAGGAAGAGAAGTGGGTGGAGGAGCGGCAGCAGGTGCGTGATTATGGGATGCGGGTCGTCCCTCCTAAAGCATGCGACGAGCGACGAGGGAGTCGACCCTGCGACGCTGAAAGCGACCGATGCGAATCACCACCGGCACCAGCAGCACGCGCAGCCGCAGCACCAATCGCAGCAGAATGACGGCGAGGGAGCGGGAAAGCGTCAGCACGCGGACGAGGGATTCGGCAAGACCGCTGCTCTAGACGCAACGGTCCCCGCCGTTCCGAGCGGCGAGGGCGACAACGAGAATGCGCGGAAGGATGGCGGAAAGGCCAGCGGTCCGTGGGGAAAGGGGGAGGGGGCGGCGGAGGACAGTGGCGCAACAGGGGCGGAAAATGCTTCCTCCAGGGAAAAAAAAGGAGCGGAGGGCGGGCAGACGCAGCAGCCGCATGAGCGGATGCCGAGCGGAGGGAACTATTTTCTGGACGGGAAGGGGGGCGGGGGGAGCGCGCGGAGCAGTAGCAGTGACGGCGGGGGGGCGCGGGAAGGGGGAACGGCGGCGCATATGTGGCAGCACGTGCACGGAGTTGCGATGCGCATCATGGGGCGCTCCGCGAGCGATGAGCGGGATGGGAATGGGGGGGGCGGAAGGAAAGGCAAGGAGAGCGCGGGAGGTTCGGGGAGAGATAAGGAGAAGGAGAAGGAGCGGGAAAGAGCCAAGGGGAAGAGTAAGGCGGATAGAGAAGCGCGATCAAGAGAAAAGGTGGGTGGGTGGGTGGGTGGTCTAGGGAGGATGGGTGAGGGAAGAGGTGAAGTGGAAAGCCGGTGGTCAGTGCATATGGATTGTTGTTCCTCTGCAGCAGTGAACCCACCTACCCACTTGCGGAACATGTGCTATGAACTCACCTGCTCTCAATCCCTCTTCGCTTCCCTCTCTTCTCCTGCCAACCTTTCTCCCCCATTACCCCCCCCTCTCCCTCCCTCCCCCTTTTCCTCTCCCTTTCCCCCACCTATTCGTCCGCATGGCTTTCCCTCCTGCTGTTCTCGCTCTCTTTGACCTTCATCGTTTGTGCAGAAAGCGAAGCAGGCTGCATACGATGAGAGGTACTTACTCCTCGCACTCCCGTGCTTCCACCCTCCTGTACTTCCACCCACCCCTCTAGCCCTCCCGTACTTCCACCGTCCTTGCACTATCCTTCTTGTTTCTGATTGCTAGTGGGTGGCACACCATCGACACTGCACTGCACATGTTGCTGCATCTCATGCCTCCCCCATCCCATCCACTCATCGCTCCCCCATCACTCATCTCCCCACCCGCCCCCTGGCCACCCCTTCCTTTCCCGTCCTGCGCGTCCCAACGCCCTCTCCCTGCCATGGTCTCTCCCGCGTGTCCCCCGCCCCTTCTTCTTCCTCTTCTTGCCGTCCTGCATGAAACCATTCCCCCCCTTGTTCCTTCATCCACGCAGTCTGAACTGCATGCTCAGGACGCCAGTCATTCCCTGCGTGGGAGCCATACGTCAGAATGGCCGGTAAGCTTGCGCTGTCACTCGCCCCAACCTTCCCTTCCCTCCAAGCTTCCCTACATGTGGTTTCAATAAATCATATGTTGTCTTTATGAACACGCCAGTGAAAGTATTGTGATTTCTGACCATGCTAACTCTGCCCCAAAAACTCGCCAGCACATTGGCTCTTTACCCCCCTTCTTGTGCGAATGCGCTTGTTCGTGCTGCTCATGTAATAGTGTATTCACACATGATGTGGACGGGTGCCCCCCCACCTCCCCACACCACTCCCTGCCCTCTTTCCCTCTCCCCACCCTCCCCCCCTCCCCTGGTGCCCATGGCAGCATCGAGGTGATGTCGTTTGAGGTGGCGCATGTGATGGTGCGGCTGGTGCAGCTGCAGCACTCGCTGCAGGACACGCACATGGCGCAGCTGGCCTCCGGCGTCATTGCTTCGCCCGGCATCGCTGCCCTGGTCACTGCTGATACTGACACTGCCTGGCGCATCGCTGCTCTGGACCGACTGTGAGGGCGGGTGGGCGGGGAGGGTGGGAGGGAGGATGGGTGGGAGGGCGGGAAAGAGGGAGGGAGGGAGGGTGGAAGGGGGGGAACGAGGGAGGGAGGGAGGGGGGGAGGGAGGATGCAGATCACTGTTCATCACTCCATCCCCGTCCTGTGACATGCAGACCATCACATACCGACCAGCACATACCGACCAGCACATACCGACCAGCACATACCGACCAGCACATACCGACCATCACATACCGACCATCACATACCGACCATCACATACCGACCATCACATACCGACCAGCGCATACCGACCATCACATACCGACCATCACATACCGACCAGCACATACCGACCATCACATACCGACCAGCACATTCCGACCAGCACATACCGACCAGCACATACCGACCATCACATACCGACCAGCACATACCGACCAGCACATACGGACCATCACATACCGACCAGCACATACCGACCATCACATACCGACCATCACATACCGACCATCACATACCGACCATCACATACCGACCATCACATACCGACCATCACATACCGACCAGCACATACCGACCATCACATACCGACCATCACATACCAACCAGCACATACCGACCAGCGCATACCGACCATCACATACCGACCATCACATACCGACCATCACATACCGACCATCACATACCGACCATCACATACCGACCAGCACATACCGACCATCACATACCGACCATCACATACCGACCAGCACATACCGACCAGCACATACCGACCATCACATGCTGAGAGTCCTCCTGACCATGTCCCAACGACCTCATGGGTGCAGGAACGACCTGCGAGTGATTGCGCGGGACGTGGCCCGGTTCGGTAGGCAGTGCCCTGACGCATCCCTGCACGGGCTCTACGGCCTCTTCAACAGGTGTGTTGAAATCACCGCACCGCATCATGCCATTGGATGCCATGACATGCTGTGGCACGGCTCAGGACATAGCATAGCTGCATAACATGGCGTGGCATGGCGTTGTGTTGTGTGGCATCTCGTGGCATAGGTTTTAAGGAACACGGGCAATCCTTCCCGCTTTGGAGAATCCTTCTGCCCTCCCACCCCCAACCCCCCTTCCCCTTCTTTAGAAAAAGATCTCATGCTTCGTTTTGCCATCTCGTCTCCTCCATCCGTCCACTCCTCCGTCCATCCACCCTCCAGCCTACAGCCCCCACCCTTGCAACCAGGACAGCAGCAGCAGGATTCGGAGGGGGATGACGACTGCTTGCAATGGAATGTGAAGAAGAGCAAGAGGGTGGCAGCGGAGGAGAAGGCACAGCGAGAGGAGCAGCAGGAGGGAAAGGGAGAGGGACAGGAGGAAAACAAGGAGGTAGAGGAGGAGCAGAAGGAGGAGGGAAAGGAGGAGGAAAAGGAGGGAGTGGAGGAGGAGGCGCAGGGTGCGGTGGTGGTGGTGTCGCAGGAGGAAGGGCTGGAGGTTGTCAGATGGCTGGAGCAGCACGCTTCGCTTGCATCTGTATGTTTTCGATCGAGCCACACGCTCCTCCAATCCAGCTGCCTGCTCGGTGATAAAAGAGTTTTTTTGAGACGTCTCAAAACGCATCTGTATGTTTTCAATCGAGGCACGCGCTTCTCCAGCCCAACTGCCTGCCCGTTCTGATCCTTTTACTTGCTGCTGCTCCTAGACTCCCGTTTTCCCCCTGCTGCTGCTGCTTCTGCTGCCTCAAGCGTTTATTTCTGTGTTTGTGTGTGCATGGATGTGGGGAATTGCATTCTTGCATTCTGCATGTATGCATGTGTGCATGTGCGCATGTGTGCATATGTGCATGTATGCATGTGCCCATGTGTGCATGTAATCAGGAGCTGTACCATGAGATAACGAGCATAGAGCATATGTACAAGGCACTGCAGAAGCGCCTCAACGAGAAGCGCTCCACATCCAAGCCCAGCATCATCCGAGGTGCGCTCGTCTTGCCCTTCACTTCACTCCCTCCCTCTCTCTGCATCTTTGTATTCTGTGAGGCGCCTCAAAAGCGACTCAGAAGCGCCTCAATGAGAAGAGGTCGACGTCGAAGCACAGCAACATCCGAGGTGCTCTCATCTCGCCCTTCACTCCCTCCCTATTCATCCATCTGTCAACCTGTACGTGCTCTTCACTCACTCTTCTTCCGCCCCATTTTTACTCCCTTCCCCATTCACTCCCGTATCAGAAGCCCGTTCAATTATGTCAATCTCCCATCTGTGAGCCTTATCCCGCCGTTCGCCCCTCCCCCGTTCGCCCTCTCCCTCTCTCCCCCCCCTTCCGAACCAAACCTGATTGTGCATCTGCGGTGGGAGCTGCTTTTCAAGATGCGTCATCACTCCATTCCCGCCGCTCCTTCCACCTCTCGGGACTGCCCCCGTTGCAGACCTGATCGAGCATAGCACACACATGCGGTCTGGTCTAAACTGGGTGTCAAGCCAAGAAGCACGCGTTTTGGCTCGTCCCAAAGCGCCTTTCTTACCACCTTTCCCTTCCCTTCCATTCCATCTCTGCACTGCACTGCACTGCACCCCTGTGGCAGACCTGATCGAGCACATGCGGTCGGAGCTGGACGCAAAGAAGGACGCAGTGAACAACAAGCGAGGGGGCAGCATTTGGACCATGACCTTGGACCAGGTGGGCCCCGTGGGGCCCGTGGGGGGTGTGGAGGGGTGTGGAGGGATATGGGTGGGAGAGGGGGATGGGAGTGAGGGGATTACCGGGTGGTGAGGGGGGAAGTGGAGGTGAAATGCGTGAGGTGGGTATGGGAGAAAGAGGAGAAGCGGCCTGATTTCATGAATGGGGAGAGTGTGAGTGTGGGCTCATGCAGGAGAAAGGGGCGGTTTATGAGAGTTCTATCTCTCATTCGCTGTCATCCATTGGCATGGATAGCAACTCTCAGTAGTATCATTTCCTGCCTGCTCATTGCTCCCCTTACCACCCAACCCCTCTCCCTCTCCTCTCCTTGTACCCTCCCTCATTCCCTTCCCATCACATCTCATCTCGTCACTTTCCCCCGTTCCTCCTGCTCTCGCTTCGTTCTTGTCTGCCACCCAACCGGTTCCTCTCCCCCCACCTCGCATTGTCCTTTCCCCTGTGCCTCACCTATGTGTGCGCTGTGCTGGTGGGTGTGCTGGTGGGTGTGCTGTGCATGTGCAGGTGGTGGTGAAGCTGAGGGATGCGGTCATCTTCCTGCACGCGCGCATGCACACAGTCTTTGGCAAGCACGGTCAGTCGGTCTTTGGCAAGCACGGTCAGTCGGTCTTTGGCAAGCACGGTCAGTCGGTCTTTGGCAAGCACGGTCAGTCGGTCTTTGGCAAGCACGGTCAGTCGGTCTTTGGCAAGCACGGTCAGTCGGTCTTTGGCAAGCACGGTCAGTCGGTCTTTGGCAAGCACGGTCAGTCGGTCTTTGGCAAGCACGGTCAGTCAGTCTTTGGCAAGCACGGTCAGTCAGTCTTTGGCAAGCACGGTCAGTCAGTCTTTGGCAAGCACGGTCAGTCAGTCTTTGGCAAGCACGGTCAGTCAGTCTTTGGCAAGCACGGTCAGTCAGTCTTTGGCAAGCACGGTCAGTCAGTCTTTCAGATCTACCGCTAGGAGCTTTGCTGCGATTGCTGCAAATCGGACGCATTCGTTTCGTAGCTGAAACAAAGAGTCGTCACGCGGCGGTCGAAGACACTTTTCCTATTCTGCACGAGGTCAGCCAGTGTCTGAAAATCTCCATGCACTACGTGTCCGGTCCGGTCCGCGCTGTTCATCAAGGTTGAGGGTTGAGTGTGAGGGGGCGTCTAGACACCCTTTTCTCCCTCCCCTTCCTACACTCCCATCCCAAATCCACCCACACTCCCACTCCCATCTCCTCCCACCCCTCCTACACTCCCACCCCTCCTTTCTCCCACCCCTCCTTACCTGTAGCGCACCTGTCGGCGCCGTTCATGGAGGCGAGGGAGAGGGTGCAGACGGGGGCGGAGCGCACGCTGGGGGAGGCGGGCATGGAGCTGCACTACGCTAACATCGTCACCATGATCGATAAGATTGTGCGTTGCTGGAGGGAGTGATGATCAGTGTGTGCGGGTGCATGTGTGCGTGTACGGGTGCATGTGCGGGTGCGTTTGTGGGTGTGCTGGGGGAGGTAGGCATGGAGCTGCACTATGCCAACATCGTCACCATGATCGATAAGATTGTGCGTTGCGCTCCTCGGTGGTCATCGCTTTATGGGCCATTCATTGGCGACAAGACGATCTCTCTGTGTGAACAGGAGGGGGTGTGGTGTGGGAGTGCATGTGCATGGGTGCGGTGTGGGTGCGGTGCGGGTGTGTGCATGTGTATGTGCGTGCCAGTGTATGTGCGTGCCATACCTTCAAGCAGACGTCCTGAATCTCTTTGCCGGACTCTTCCCCTTTCGGCCCTCCCTCTGCTCTCCCCTCTTCCCCCCAGGTGACGGGCAGGTCAGTGGAGCACCATCAGGAGGCGCTGTACAGCGCGCTGCCTGGTAGCCCTTCAAAACTAGACTTCTTGAACCTCTCTCCCTCCGCTCCCTGCCCCTGCCGCTACCCCCTTCTCTTCCCTCCACCCCCCCCACCTCCCCGCAGGTGACGGGCAGGTCAGTGGAGCACCACGGGGAGGCACTGTACAGCGCGCTGCCTGGTAGCAATTTAAACTTCCTGAACCTCTCTCCCCTCTTTCCCCCTCTCCCCCCTGCTGCCCCCCCCCCAACCCCCCTTCTTCCCCGCAGGTGACGGGCAGGTCAGTGGAGCACCACCGGGAGGCGCTGTACAGCGCGCTGCCGCGGAGGGTGGTGCACGTGCTGCGGCGGCGCCTGCTGCGGTCCGAGGACGTGGCTCAGATGGGCACAGACGTGCTGCTGGCCCGCCTGGAAGGCGTGCTGGACTGGCTCGCCACCATGGCTGAAAACACCATCAAGTGAGTGTGAGACATGGGGGGTTGAGGGGAGGATGGTGGAGGGGAAGAGGGAATGATTGGGGAGTGAAGGCGGCGGATGATGAAGCTTGGAATGGGTTGAGAGGGCGGGCTGGACTGGCTTGCCACCATGGCTGAAAACACCATCAAGTGAGCAAGGGACACGGGGGAGAGGGTGGGAAATGGGGGCGAGACGACACGCGCAGATTCAGGCTGTATTGACACTGCTACCTTCTCATCCACGCCCCCTCAGACGTTATCCCTCTCACTCTCCCCCTTCCTCACATCATCCTCTCAGTTCCCTATTTCTCCTCTACCCTTGCCTGTCATCTCCCACCCTAAACCCCACAACCAGGATCGGAGTGGAACGGCGGTCGCAGGGGCACACGGGGCTATCTCTTCTAGAGACTCTGTACCACGTGGACAAAATATATCTAAGGTGCCTTATTAGCTTCTTTTGAACGTCCCCTTCCTTCCCTTCCTTGCTGTCATCTCCCACCACCCCCGCGACCAGGATCGGAGTGGATCGGCGGTTGCAGGGGCACACGGAGCTATCTCTATTAGAGACACTCTACCATGTGGATGAGAAGAAGCTACAAGCCCTGCTAGTGGACTTGCTGGTGGACCTGCAGCACTATGCCAGCCGGGAGGACGCGGACGACCCTGAGTATGCATGGGCCCCCATTCCCCGCTTTGCCATTGTCGCTGCTGTTTCCACACGCGGCGGGGAGGAGAGTGCTGCTGCTGAAGCAGCAGGTGATGGTGATGGTGCTGCGGCCACTGAGGTTGCTGCTGCTACTGCTGCTGCTGCCGATGATGATGCTTCTGCTGAAGCTGGTCTGCTTGCAGAAACAGCGCCTGTCACACAGGAACCCTCTGCTTCCATTGATGCTTCTGCACCTTCTATTGCTGCTGTCACTTCTGCCGGCGCTGCTGCTGCTTCCGCTGCTGCTGCTGCCGCTGCTGCTACTGATGACGATGCTGGTGGAAGTGCTGCTGTTCCTCCTGGTGCTCATGATAGCGCTGACTCAGCTGCTGGTGCTGCTGAATCAGTCACGAGTGACTCGCATTTACCTGCAGGGGGGAGCGTTCGCGCTCCTTTGGAGGTAGCAACTGGAGAAAGCATGATCGCTGCAACTGATGCGGCTGTTGCTGATTCTGCTGCTGCTGCTCCAACTGTTGCCGCTGCACCTGCCTCAGCTGCTGCATCCATCCCTGCTGCCCCTACTGCTCCAGACGCCCCAGCTGCCTCGGTGGTGGAGGAAATCCCTGAACCTCACACCCCAACCTTCCCCCTCACGCCGCTCACCCCGCTCACCCCTTCAAGCGTTCCCTGGAGCGCCTTCTCTCCCCTCTCCAAGCCCATATCAGCACCACGAGGGGGGAACGCCGCAGCAGCAGCAGCAGGAGGAGGAGGAGGAGCGGGAGGTGGGGGAGGAGGAGGAGGGAGCGTGGGTGTGTCGCGTCGGGCAGGCCCTCCCCTGCCCATCCGCGTGTCCTTCCCATCCAGCAAGTCCGTTTCCGCCTCCACTGCCTATGACTCCTCCAACCCCAAATCCCCCTCGGCTGCGTCAGCAGTATCTGACACTGCGCTCTCTGTCTCAGGCTCGGGCCCAAACACGCCCACGCCGCTGTTCGGCAGCCATTCGCCTCTCTCTGCGTCCTCTCCTGCTTTCACACCCTCAGGCGCTTCCGAAGCTGCTAGCAGCGTCACTGGCAGCATCACGCCAGGGTCTCTCTCTGGGTCCTACGCCGCTCGCAATGCTGCTGCCTGCAGCTCGCTTGCGCACTCGCGTGGGGCTGTCCGCTTTGCCAGCAGCGGCGGCTCCATTCCCCGCCCGCATCATCACGACAGCCGCAGGCGCACCCGCAGCAACCGCGCCACCAAGTCTGCAAGCTCTGGCGCGCAGCTAGGAGCGGTAGGGGGAGCGGGAGGAGCAGGAGCAGGAGGACCAGGAGCAGGATCAGGAGCAGCTCCAGGAGGAGGGGGAGGGGGAGGAGGAGGGAACTACCATGTTGCCATGTCGCTTCCCGCTGCGATGGTCCCGGGAGCAAAGGGAGGGTCCAAGGGAGGCCCGTTCAGTGGGTACGGCTTCCCAGTGAACCCCATTCACAGCTTCGAGCTGCCTTCCCACCGCCGCAACATCCCACAGCCGCTCCGCCTATCAGTCCTGTCTGACTCGCCGTACCACGGCGGAGGGCTGGGCACGCCTGGGTTCTCGGGATCCGGAGGAGGGTTTTCGGAGAGTGCACCGTCCCCGTTGGCGCAGCTTGTGGCATCGGCCGCAGCGGAGGAGGGAGATGAGGACGCTATTCACGCCATGGCGTCGCCGCTGCCGCAGTGGCTGCCTGTTTCGTCTGCATTCAGGGAGGAGGAGGAGGAGAGGCTGAGATCGCGTGCGTTTTCGACTGCCAGTCCCACGCCTGGTACCCCCACTGTGGTGCCGAGGATGCTTAGCCGGGCCATGCGCAAGTCTATGACTGACTGGGAGATGGGACCCATGATTGATGCGCTCACGCTGGAGAGTGCCGGTGTTAGTGGCGCTGTGGCGGGTGCGGGTGCGGGCGGGAGCATGCATGTGACTAGGAGCTCTGAACGGCTGTCGGAGAGCTCTGGGGTGGCTGGGAGGGGCGGATGGGGCGCAGCAGGCGGGGGAGGCAGGGACGGGGATGGATCAAAGGGATCAGGTCAGCGGTCGTTCCTGGCTGTTGGGTCTGGTGGGCTCTCGGGAGTGGGGGTGGGAGGAAGCGGGTTGGGTGAGAGCTTTGGTGGGAGCAGTGTGGGTGGGAGTGTGACCGGCAGTGCTGCAGGTAGTGCGAGCGGCAGTGGCGTGCTAACTGCTGTCATATTCGAAGGTCAAGCAGGAGACGGATTGACGAGCCCAATGGGAGGACGGCCGGTCATGGCAACACCCAGCAGCGGCGGCAGCAAGGGCTGGGCGTGTGGGAGCATGGAAGGAGGGGGGTGGAGTGGAAGAACAGGAGGGAGTAGCCAGGCAGGCAGTGCAGCAGCTACCCCCTGCACGCCTGCTAGCTGGCGTTTACGTCCCATGGCCCCTCTTCTTGTGGACGTGGACCGGATTGATGATGATGAGAATGGTGCTGCGCTCATTGCTGCTGCTGTTGGCGGGAGCTTGCTTACGGATGGGATGGGAGCGGAGGAGGAGCGGGGAGAGGCGAGTGAGGGGGGCACGAGTGTGGGGCCGAGCCCGAGGGTGGCGGAGGTGGGGAGGGAGGACAGTGGGCGGAGTGTTGGTACTGGGCCTAGCGCAAGAGTGATGTCTGGAGAAAAGGCTGCTGGTGGTGGTGTTGCTGCTGCTGTTGCTGCTGCAGTTGCTGCTTCTGCTGCTGGTGCTGCTGGCGCTGGTGCTGCTGGTACTGGTGGTGCCGGTACCGGTGGGTCTAGCCTGGGGCCGAGCCCCAGAGGATCCAGGGAGAGGAGAGGCGGTGAAGGGCGTGGGGAGTGAGGTGAAGCCATGCGAACGGGAGGAGAGTGTTGAGGTGCGGGTGGGTGGTGTGATTTATGTGGGGTAGGTGGTGGCACAGGGTTGCGATGGAGAGATAGGGAAGTAGGGGTGGTGGTCGGTAGCAGAGGCTGAGTGGCAGTTGCACCAAGGAAATGTTTGGCGGTGGGATCTGTGTGGAATGGAATGGAGGAGAATGTGATGGATGGTGGTGGTAAATGGGTGCGAGAGGAGTAGGCTGCTGTGTGGGGAAGGAAGTAACAAACAGTGCAACGGGAATTCGCCTCTATCTTCGCTGAGCGCATTGCTATACATATTGTCCTTTCCTCAACCCTCACTCTTTGCACCCTTGTGACTGGTTTATTCTTGATACCATGCACTGATTTTATACCGTATGCTGGTTTGACTGGTCTTTTGCCTCGGAATTCCGACTAAAGGGTTTATTAAGTTTCTTCCGTAAAATCAGTATTTTCATATGAGTGTGGTGTACCGCATTTGTGATGCAGATTTGAAACACTAGCTATGCTCCCCGGAAATTGCATCACATTCACGATTTGACGGTGCTGGTCAGAGGCTACTCCTGGTTCTTGGATACAATGATCACATCTGCATGGCGCTTTGTCTCCATAATAAGCTCGGCATTGGGACGGTCGTTGTAGTCCACCTGGTCAGACAGGGATGACGGGGAGAAAGGGAGGGAGAGGGGGGGAGAGGGGGGAGAGGGGGGAGAGAGGGGGAGAAGATAAGAGGAAAGGGGTGGTGGGAGAGGAGCGGGAGGCAAGGGGGAAAGGGATGCGGGACGGAGTCACATGCATGCACTCACGCATGGAGGGTAAATGGAGGAGGACACGGATGTGTGCGTGCACAAGTGATAGATGGATCACTGGTTGACTGCGGACACAACTTGATGCACACGCGAAGAGGTGAAGAGAGCAAGCTGAGGAGGGGAGCAGGAAAGGGAGCAGCAGAGAGGGAGTGTGGGGAGGAACGAGGGAGCGAGCAGAGCTTACCCGCCACTTGGCAACGTCCTGTGTCTTGCCTGCAGGCATGCCCATACCCATGCCCATGCCCATGCCCATGCCCATGCCCATGCCCATGCCCACGCCCATGCCCATGCCCATGCCCATGCTTATGCCCATGCCCATGCCCATGCCCATGCCCATGCCCATGTCCATACCCATGCCCATGCCCATCCCCATCCCCATGCCCATGCCCATGCCCGTGCCCATCCCCATGCCCATGCCCATGCCCATGCCCATGCCCGTGCCCATGGAGAAGGAGAGAAATCGCTGGCAAGTTTTGAATAAACGGCAGCTGACCGACTTGATCGAGAAACGAGTTTTCTCTCATGTATGAACCAGGCGCTAGCCAAGCTGACTTTTGAGTCGACTCAAAACTCATGTATGAACCAGGCGCTAGCCAAGCTGACTTTTGAGTCGACTCAAAACTCATGTATGAACCAGGCGCTAGCCAAGCCGACGCTAGTGTAGGTAGCAAGAGGAGATGACGCAGAGTGCGGGATGTGATGGAATGACATGGCACGATGTGATGAGACGACATGGCGTCATGTGATGAGACGACATGGCGTCATGTGATGAGACGACATGGCGTCATGTGATGAGACGATATCGTCATGTGACGGAACTGGTTGAAAACCTGTGCCAGATGTGATGCCTCTCACCTGTTGCCACATGTCGCTTCTCCACTCGCTGCATTGCCTCATCCAAATCTACCTCCACGAACCTGGTTGGTAGATTGAGGAAGAAGCGAGGAGGAGGTGCAGGTGAGGGGAGCAAAAGGAGGAGCGTACAGATGAGATACAGCTACACCCATCCTAGTCTCTTATGGTCCTTGTATCGAATAAGCGACTAGTACAGGCAAGGATGGTTTGCAAGTAAGGTAAGACTAACCTTTTGTCGTCCTAAACCCATCCTAGTCTCTCTCGCTCCCTCGTTCCTCACCTTCCTCCAGCCAGCCACAATAATAAAAAACACGTGAAACACGTGAAACATGTGAAGGCCTCGATGCTTGCACGAGCCCAGCATAAGCCTTGAACTGACCACTTTCCAGCTCCCAGCCTCAGAACAACTCGCCAGTGCCATCAGTCTGACCCCAGCCTTGGCATGGGAAGGGCGGAACTGACCATGTCTCGTCGAAGAGAGGCTGCAGGCGCGCCCAGTCGCCATCGTTGAGCAGCAGGTAGTTGCCCTCCACCACCACCACTCGCACGCTGCGGCACGGGGACGGGAGAGAGGGAGGGAGTGAGCGTGGCGGAGCAACTGAGTGAGAGCACGTGATATCGACTTTTGAGACGTCTCAAAACACGTGATATCGAATAACCTCTGTGCGATTTGAGTCTTGCGCTTTAAGCTGTTCCGTGGCCTTCATAGAGCAGCAGGTAGTTGGCCTCCACCACCACCGCTCGCACGCTAGGCCTCGGGGAAGGGAGAGAGGGAGAGATGCTGAGAGTGACTCAAGCACACAGTCCATCGTGGAACAGCAGAGCAATACATGGGTGCGGTGTGGCGAGGTGTGGTGGGGTGAGGTGTGGTGTGGAGCAGTGTGGAGTGGCAGGCATAGCTAGGGCGAGAAGGAGGTGGGGACAGAGAGGTATGCGGACCTAGAGGGTATGGGGATGTCATTGGGGACCGGGTCTCCTACACCGTGGTCAAAGGAAGGCAGAGACACAGTACCCTGGGAAACACAGTACACAGAGGGATCGGGGCAGACAGGGAGACCCACGCACAGACATTTGAGATGTAAGTACATTCACTACTTTTGCCTGGCGGAAACGTTGATTAAACGTTCATAACAGAATATGGGAACGAGCACACGCGAAACAGAACTCCGGAGTAAAGGATCGGGGGGGGGAGAGGGAACGGAGGGGAGAGTAGAGGAAAGGAGGGCGGCAGTCAAATCACAGTCTCACTTGCCGTGGTAATGGTGAATTTGAAGGAAGAGTGAAGGCATGAGGTGTGGATTGGAAGGAGGATAGGAGGAGAAGGGCGTGCAAAGCACCTGGTCCTTCAGAGTTTGAAGGCAGTCCACTAGTGATGCAGGGTCGAACGTCCAGGGGGCTGGTGCAGAGCGGAGGAGGAGAACGCATGGAGAAATGCGCAAGTGAGCGGTCATGTGCGAGCAGGGGTGCAGAAGAGAGATAACACGTGGTTTATCATTTGTGCGCAATGGGATCAGGGAACAAAACAATGGGTTGGAACATGATGCACATAACTATGGAGAAGCACGATCAAGGCGACCGACCAGACAGGGAACAAAACAATGGGGTGGAAAAGTGTCATTCATTCGATGCCTGCCTACCTCCTCGCCGTGCATGGGCTTCCTTGGGGTCCTGCAATGGCGTGCCGGCGAATTGGGTTGGGTTCCCACAGAAGGAGGGAAAATTTACACAGGCGTGTCTGGACAGCCGTGAGCTCCCGAGTCATGGCATGACTTTTAAGGCGCCTCAAAAATCACCCCAATGCAGATGGGTTTACACAGGAGTAGATTTTTACACCACCGCACCACATATGCCGCGCTAACACAGTAATGGATGCAGCAGATTCAAGTGGCAGCAACAAGGAAAAGATATTCTTGCTACATTCACGAAAAATTGGGCCGCAATTTACAGGAATTTAAGCAAGTGTACATGCAAGACCCCCCCCCCCTCTTCATCGATCTTGCGTGATCTCACTCACATCCATGGCATCCAACTGCCATCTGTACAGATGAAACCCATCCATTGGCGCCACAGCCGCCACATCAGCATTTGCATCCGCATCCGCATCCGCATCCGCAGCAACACCAGCATCAGCAGCAGCATCGGCAGCAGGGGTGGGGGGCAGAGCATGGCGCCATGCGTGGTTGACTCGGTCAACCACGGCCTGGGACACCGTTGACTTGCCCGCACCCGGTGGCCCTGCCAGCGCTACCAGAAACCTGAAGTAATGGGTCGGACGTAAATGCATGCGTGCACGGATGGGTGACAATGAGGACGGAACCTGGATGCATGCATGGATGGGTGCGTGATGGGCGGGCGCATTGTTACGCAGTGTGTGAATGACGAATGCAGCATAGATGAATGACACATACATGATGAGTACATAACAGATGCATGAGGGACACATAAAGCATGTATAAACGCGTGCAGGCATGGTGCAGGCTCACTTGTTGGGGGGTGTGGTGGCGTGAGCAGCAGCGAGCAGTCTGTGAGCGAGGGACTCGTACACATCGTCCATGCTCGTGCAATCCACCACCACGGCCGATGCTGATGCCGCTGATGATGCTGAAGACAACTGCGATTGTGATAGTGATTGCGGAGAAAGAATTGACGATGATGATGAGGAGGAGGAGTCTTGAGTCGTCTCGGACCATGATCTGCTGTCATCTCCATGGCTGTGATCGTTTGAAGCTGCTGCTCTCCGCACACCGCAATAGCCCATCCCCTTCCCTCGCCACTGCTGCTGCCGCCGCTCCTGCCACTGCTGCAGCCATTGCAGCTGACCCGGTGCCAAACCCGCTCCGTTCGCCTGCTTCTTGATTTTCCCGTGTGGTCGTGGTTGCAGTCGTGCGTGCGGTCTCGCGGCAACGATCCCAGAAGATCCGCAAACAACACGCGGGACCGCTGGACGTAAAGAAAAAACGAGGTTTGCAGAAAAAAAGGCGAGAAATTCAGGGTCATGATTCAAATCGACGGGGAGGTCGGAAAAAAAAATAATTATTGAAAATGAAAACGCGAGTGGCATGTTGTCATCTTGGGCTTCGCGAAAGACCCCTGCCGTCAGTCACGGGACCAGACGATGACCAGCTGGAGCTGGACTGCGGACCCAACAATCGCACCTGGCTGGCGACGGCTGTACGGGGTGCACGACGTGGGTACGACAACGGCCGTCGCCATCCTCGATGCAAGCAGCCCTTTTTCCCCGCCGCTGTGACTCTGTTTCAAGCGCGGGCGACGCAGATGACTCAGGCGACGCCCAGTACTTGTTTTTGAGTGTGTGTGATGGGGCTTGAAGGTGGGAATCTGGGACACTGTTGCCCACATTCACCAATTCACCCAATCCAACATCCAGAATTTGTGAAATTGTGAAACTCCGTTGAATACATTTTTATCAAATGTATATACGAGACTGTATGAGGCGAACGTTATCGAGCCGGCGAGCATCGAAACGACCGTCGCGGCCAATCCCTGCCACACGTTGCCTGGATCGACGGATCTCTCTCATAGTTACCGCCGTTTCCAATCAATTACTCCGCGGCAGTCCTCTGGACGAATTGACTTGACACAATTATGCCACCCCTCAACCAGCTGTTTCACAGCGCACGTCGCAGGTGGTTTGGCCGTTCGCCCATCGCATACCCTAATCTGGACGGTGAGGATGCGAAGCGACGCAATCACACAACAATCCGATGACGATGGCGAAACGACGTCTTTCCAAGGGCCAGAAATGAGGGCGAGCGACGCTGTCGCGATACGGATTGAACAACCCAGCGAAACTCGCAAGCTCCGAGAAACTCTTCGCTTATCCGACAAATGCAACAAGTCCCTTGGGATTGGTAGCCACTTCTGTGGCATCTACAAAACGGGCGTTTGTTCCCACCAACCCTAGAGGACCGTTTCTAGGAGCCATCAAGGCTGCGTATGCACGAAGACAAATATAACCACACAAGACGCTGGTGGTGAAACCAGCCGAGTGAAATGCGGGAATCGCCTGAGCGTCGTTATTCCGGCAGACGTAGGACGCCGGCCGGTTGCCGAAGAGCAGAGGCTTCTGAGGTATGAGGCTTAGTATCATTAGGACCGCTGGGTATCGGTGACGAGGCGGAGCTCTTCGAAGCTACCTTGTAGGAGATAGATACAGATTAAGCAAAGGTGTTTTTAGTAGTGCTGGGAACGTGTCGTAAGGAGGATTTTCGCGTGGTGCCGATTACGGCGGATAGAGAAGGCATTACCGCAGGGAGACGTTATTTATGCGACGCTGGTAACGCGGGACGATATGGAGACACGATGTGGGTGCGGATAGCGGCGATTCGACATTCATCCGCGTTGCTAGTAGCACACCAGATCGAAGCGTAGGGACTTCTATCGAGGCACCTTAGACCGCGTTGATAGCACCGGGTGTCACTGCAGAGTCGAGCTGCAGAAAGGCGGCATTGACGGAAAGTTTCGCCTTCTCTGGGCCATCCGCGCATTTCATTATCGTGCTGTGCTACCCGCGCAGTCTGCTCACTTTGGCCGTCCAGCAAAGCAGATCACCTGAGTCCATCCGGACCGTCCATTCAGCAACCGCGTGCACTCTGAGACCTGATCGTCGCGCAGCAGTCTCGCAGCATCGCGTCTCGCCGCTGCTGATCGCGTCAGCCGTCCATTCCATTTTATCCCACCCCCTCTGCGCTCTCCCTCCTCTGACACGTTTCCCTTACCACTGCACGTACTTCACACCTGTGCTTACACCAGCCAATCGCTCCGGCGACTGGCAGTTAATTTGCGACACACACCCTCCAGCGGTCGCGGACCGCAGCCTCCGCGTCTGACTTTTACTCCTCCCCGAAAGGCCACCCATGGACCCCTCCCAGTCGTTGCTGCAGCGAGCCAAGTCGCGGCGGCAACCGGACGAAGCGCAGCAGCTGCTGCCCACGTGCCCCATGGTGTACGCGATAATAGACGAAGCGAGTCTAGAAGAAGCCGCCGCTGCCCACGCCGCCGCCAACGCTGCCGCAGCCGTCGCCGCCGCCGCAGCAGCTGCTGGTGGTGGTGTCTCTGCAGGCTCCCCACGCTCCACTGATGGTTCTGTTGGGGGGGCAGCGGTGGGGGGAGGAGGGAGTGTAGGATCCGCTGGGTCTTTAAGAGGGCTAGGCGAAGGCGGATTGAGTTTCGGGACGGGGAGTGGGAGGTCCGCGAAGCAATCATGGGATTTAAGTAGCGACGGAGGCAGTGGGAGGAGAGCGGGAGTGGGGGGAGGGATAGGAGGAGTAGAACGGGCGGCGGTGCTGCGTGCTCAGATGTCCTCGTTATCACTAGCGGTGGAGTGTTTGTTAAATACAGCCGTGGTCACTCTAGAAGGCACGTGGACCGTGTCCTCCAATGGCATTGCGCCACGTTGCGAGTGGCTGTTTGCGCTGCCCATAAACCACAAGGTCAGCGTTTCGTCAGTCGAGGTGGTTACCACCGATTCGCATTTCTTCACCACTGCCATTGTAACCAAGGAAGAGGCAGAATCAGCAGCCGCCTCTTCCTCCCACCCCCACCCGCACCCCCACGACCCTTCTCCCCATCACCACCACACCTCATCCACCTCCTCCTCCTCGTCCTCCTCCTCATCTGTCTCGTCCTTCCTTGCAAGAGTAGGCTCAGGAAGGCTAGGCTCAGGAGCTGGCGGAAGCGGAGGGGGCGGGGAGAGAAGCAGCGGCGGCGGAGGGGGGCTGCTAAAGAGACTAAGCAGCGGCAAGTCAACAGCCAACGGCACAGGAACCAGCCTGGACGCTCCAGATCAAAGCGGAGGGCTACTAGGCGGGAAAGGCGGCGCCATGGATTTCGCCATGCTGGGCCCCGCAGGGGAAGGGCTGCAGAAAGCAGGCGTGCTGTTGCAGGAAGGCGGGGAGTTCAACCCTGCCATGTTCCGCATGAGGCTGCCGGCTGTAGAAGAAGGCACGCAGGTGAAGGTGCGGGTATCGTATGTGGAGACGATGGGCGTGCGCGCGGGGTACTACGAGGTGGTGGTGCCGCTGGTGGTGCCGGACGCGGTGGTGCCCAGTCATCTGGAGCTCGTGGAGGTGGTGCAGGTCAGCTGCGCTATTAACAGCGGCCATACCAGGCCACTCAAAGTCGGGGATTTCAACCATCCCATGAAGGTACGGGGGAGTTCTTGGGTATGGGGTTGCTGTGGGGGTGTTGGGCTGCTCGCTTTCTGCAGCCTGAGTTGCTGACATGCCATGCCACCCCTTTATCATACTCTCCATCCAGGCCTCCCTCCCCACCGATTCTCTCAGCCCTCTCCTTGCACTCACTTCCTTCCCCCCACCCCTCCTGTGTATCCCGCCCATGCCCTATGAGCAGGTGATGTTTGTGGAGCTAGGACGGGCGTCCTTCACGGGCTTCCCTGCCAGCACCACGCCTGATGGCAAGCCATGCGTGTGGCCCAACGCTGACTTCGTCCTCTCCTACCAGGTGGGTACGGAGCGAGTTTCGCCAGGGCGATGCATTCTCCTCCTTGCTCCGAGGGGGAAGCACGGGCCTGCGGTGAAAGAATGGCATAGCATGTCATGAGTCCATGCATGGATCCTCCCTTCTGAGTCGACTCAAAAGTCACCTAAGTCACCTTTTTGAGCCGACTAAAAAATGGGCCTGCAGTGAAAGAATGGCATGGCATGGCATGACATGAGTCCATGGATCCCCGCTTCTTTCCTTTTTCCGCTTGGCAATGTCCTTTTTTATGCGAGGTTTCTCTCATACACAGCATGCCTCTCTGCTATGCCCACCACTCGTCACCTTCCATTCCACCCTCGCACCCCATCTCGCCCTCCACGTCTCCTCCATACTGTGCATGCCCTGTGCCCATCCCGGGCATCAGGTGGTGTGTGAGGACGTGGCAGCAGCCATGCTGGTGCAGGCGCCCTACGAGGAGGACCCCGACACACGAGCCATCTTCTGCCTCTCCGTCTGCCCTCCTGACCCCTGCCAACTGCCGGTCAGTACCCCTCCTCCCTTCTTGCCTTCTTCCCTTTTGCGCAACCTCAACGTACCCCTACCTCCCAGGATCCCACCCCCTTCCTCCCCCTTTTCTTCCGCACTCTCTTACTGTTGTCTTCATCTCCTTCCAATCCTTAACAACCCCATCCTTTCCCCAGGTGTACGGGGTGAAATCTCAGTCGACTCAAAAATCACCTAATGCAAACTGTGTCCTTCCATCCATCCTGGACGCACACTCTCACCAGGTGTACGGGCGGGCAGTGGTGTTCATTCTCGACAGCCACAACGCCATGCGTGGGCGCGCAATGGAGGAGGCTCGGCGCGCTGTCATGGCAGCGCTCAAGCGCCTGAGTCCGGCGGACAGCTTTGGCATCATAGCGTTTGACTACGAGCTGCTGGTGTATGCGGAGGCCATGGAGAGCGCCACAGCGGAGGCCGTGAAGAAGGCCAGCAAGTTCGTGCTGCAGGCATATGACACCGACGAGGCCTGCAACATTCTCTCGCCGCTGCAGCTGGTGGGTCCCTGCTGCCACGGGAGAGGTGCGGGTGGGTGGCAGGTGCACGTGGGAGGGAGGGTGGATGGGGAAGAGTGCTGCAGGGTGCACTGGCTGGCGGCTGATTGACCCCATTGGCTTCTCTGCACGAGGCCACTAGTAGCTCTTGAGGTGCGGTGCAGGTGTACTGGCGTGTGATGATGCCATGTGCTGTACTGTACTTGCTGCGTGCCTTCTCCTGGTGCAGCCCGCACTGAACATGCTGAAGAGCTCTCGGGGCATGCTGCCGTGCCGCAGCATCATTTCTCAGGGCATGGCGCTCACTTCACCCTCTCCACCTCTCCCCACATTCCACAAAACGCCCCCTCCTTCCTCTCTCTGTCCCTCTGTCAACGTGCGGTGCGGTGGCCATGGTATCACTCACAGGCGTTGAAGATGCTCAAGGGAGTGAGGGGAATGCTGCCGCAGATAGTGCTGTTGAGCGATGCAGCAGTGGAGGACGAGCGCTCCATCTGCTGCTACCTGCAGGAGGCGCTGCTTGAATGGGGACCCAACGCCCCCCGCATCTTCACCTGTGGCATCGGTATGCTGCCTCGCCTCTGCCTCGCCTCTGCCCCGCCTCTGCCTCGCCTCTGCCCCGCCTCTGCCTCGCCTCTGCCTTGCCGCTGCCCTGCCACGGCCCTGTCCTGCTCTTCCGCTGCCCTCCCTGCCTCGGTTGTCTTGGCTCTGTGTTGCCATGTGTTGGGTTCCCTCCACTCGTTTTCATTCCCCTTTTCTTGTTCCCCCCTGCTCCCCCACTTTCTCGCTCTGCTCCCACACCTCCCACCCCTCCACGTGTGCGTGCCCCACACACCGGAACAGGTCCCAGCTGCAGCTACTACTTCCTTCGCTGGATAGCGGGGGTCAGCCGAGGGGCCACTGAGTTCGCCTTCACTGCTGGTACGCACCGCTGCACCACACTGCACCGCACTGCACTGTTCTGCACTATCTTTTACCAAGTTTCTTATTCTTCCTCGCGCCGTTCCTTCTGCAATCCACCAACCTCTTCTCTGTTTGTGCCTTACCATACCTCTTGTCGATCTCCCCTCCCCTCCCCACCCCACCCCACCCCACCCCATCCCACTCCAACCAAATCCCCTTTTCCCCCTTTCCCAATTCCCCCTTCCCTACTCTCATCTCATGTTCAGACGAGGTGCGGAAGAAGGTGGAGCGGCTGTTGCTAGCGGTGTCTCGTCCACTCATCACCAACATCACCATTAGAGACATGCCCGCCGGCTTCCAGGTACTTTCCCGGCTTCCATTGACCCCCCCATTCTGCTCTCAAGCTCTCCTCTTCCTCCCGTTGCCTGCCTCCCCTGCGCCCTTCCCCATGCATGCAGCTTGCCCTATTATGCCATCAACCTGCCAAACAGCCTTCACCCACCTCAAACCCCTCTTACCCCGCCGCCCTTCCCCTCCCCCCCTCTCTCCATCCCCTTTCCACCTCTCCACACCCCTTCCCCCCTCTCTTTCCTCCCCACCTTCCCCACTCCCACCAGCTGGTGCCATTCCCCATTCCCGACCTGTATGCAGCATGCCTTTAAAGTCGACCCAAATGTCTTCCCCCTCTTCTCCGTAACCCCGTTTCTCCCCCATTCCTCCCCACCTTCCCCACTCCTACCAGCTGGTGCCATTCCCCATCCCCGACCTGTATGCAGCATGTCCGGTGGCGGTGTCAGGGCGGCTGGACGGGGATGTGCCCCTGGCGTTGGAGCTAAGAGGTGTGCGTGCCAACGGGGCCCCCTGGAAGGCCAAGGTGCCTGTTGTTGAGGCCGCCACTCTGCCGCTCTCCACGGTAAGCTGTGGGATGGAGTGGGATGAGGTTAGATGGGGTGGGTTGAGGTGCCCCGCCATGTGATGTCGTACGCTGCTGTGTTATGCCTTTCTTTTAAAATTTCCACTCCCTTCTTCTCTGCCTCTGTTTTTAGTCTCCAATTCCTACTTCTCTTTTTTCTGGTTGAAATCTCCACTCTCTTCCCCCCCCATCTCCTCCCCATTACACACAACACCAGGTGGGCATACGGGAGCACACGGACCTGATGACAGCAGATGCATGGCTGCAGCGCGACCCCGACCTCGAGCGAGGGGTGAGCGCTCTCATCTCATGCTCACATGCTCACATGCCCACGCACGCACACAGTGTTGGGATTGAGAATACGCAAAAGTGGACTCTGTAACGAGCGCTCATGCTGATGCACTGTGCTGTGCGTATGGGTTGTGCTGCCATGGTTGCAGGCTGTAGCGGAATGTAAGCGTGGGCTGGAATATAGGTTATGGCTGTTGCGTGTGCCGATCCATGCATGGGGATGGGATTGGTGCTGTGATGGTGGCTGTGTCTGCAGGAGTATAGCCACCTGAATGATATACCAAACGGCAGTTTATTTCCCCTGAATCCTCCTGCGATTTCCCATCATAATCATCTCCCTCTCCTCCTCCACACGCCCCACGCCACTTCTCCCCATGCTCTGCGACTCTCCTCCGTGTGGCACCACCACCACCACCACCACGACCACCACGACGATGAATGGCACGAGCAGGTGGCGCGCATGAGTCAGACGGTGTGTGTGCCCAGCCACTTCACACGCATGGTGCTCTTTGAAACCAACCGGGCCAGCTACGACGCCCTGCAGCACGACCGCATACAGGTGCCACCTCCCTTCCCTTCCTCAACCCCACCCTCCACACCCCGTGCCCTTTGCCCCAGTGCCGCCTTCCCCCCTTGTCTTCTTCTCACTGGATTAATCACTCATCTGACACCTATCATTCTACTCTTCATCCTCCATTCCCTCACCTCACCACCCACACTGCCATCAGGGCAAGGACCTCAAAGTCCGAACCTACACCGACCCTCCCTCCACGCCTGTCTCCATTGTCCCGAGCCTGGTCATAGGCCTGGGGGGACCAGCAGTGGCTCAGAAGCAGACGAGCCAGCAGCAGCAGGAGCAGCAGCAGCGCGGTCCAGGGGGGCTGCTGGGGGAGGTGTTGGAGGAGGATGAGGAGGAAGAGGAAGGAGAGCTGCTGCAGAGCAGACAGGGGAAACCACTGGGGCTCCTGGGATCAATTATGTCGTGTTACCGGCCCAACGCTGCTCCTGGGTCCAAAAAGAGATGATGGCGATGGCTGGGGAATGGGGTGGGAGGTGACAGAAGGAAGTGGCGTGGAGCGATGGATGGGTGGTACAGGTGGTGGCAGGCTGACACGGCAAAAAACGGGTGGAGAGATTATGGCAAGGATGCTTATTTATTTATGGAAACATGCAGTTGCTCGTTCTCTAGGGGTACTAGGCATGTTCATGTGCTGGGATATAGATCAGATGGGCATAAATTGTAACCATCCGCTGTTTCAGAAATGCGCATGTCTGATCCTAAGCATCTCTGTAGGTACAGCAATTGGCGCATGATGTTTGCAAGAAATGTGGGTATATGTATATTACCTGGTTACAGGCTGTGATTTTCACAGAGTGCTGGGACGCGAGAAGTGAAACAGAACCAGTTGTAAATGGTTTTTTCAATATCGAGAACCGACCTTACCATCCCTCCTAAAACCCCGTCGCTAGAACCACTTCTATGACCATTTTGGAACGGCAATGCGCGAAGATCGGATTCCTCGCGCCGCCTCTGACGCATCAGCATTCGCCCGAGCCGTGTCGTCCTTGCCGCATCTCTCGTCTAACACCCGGTTAATGATTTAGCCTTGGAAACTCGGTCCTTTCACCTCAGCTAGCCACGTGGCTTGTGCCGTGCGTCGCGCACACCTCAGGCTGAAGCATGGCATCATCATTTCAAATGTTGACGTCACGCGGATGTGTCGCGCCAGTGGCGCTTGCAGGTCGGCCCCATCGTGTGACGACTGCTGCTGCAACGAAGCTAGTGCAGCTCCCCGGTTTGCGCCAACGGGGAAGTCTCCACCCATGCTTCCGCCGCAACGGCGCGCAGTGGCGCAGAGAAAGACCCTGGCGGATGGCAATGGCGGCCGCTGACGGCGAGGGGGCAGACGGGGTCGGAGGATCGGCGGAAGCGGAGGAGTCCTCTCCCGCGCTTGCCGCAGGGGCGGAAGCAGGCAAAGGCGAAGGGAGCAACATCATTAGCAGCATTATTAGCAACATCGGCAGCGGCAGCGAGAGCGAGAGCGGCGGCGACGCGGAGTCCAGGGAGTGGGAGGGCGATCTACAGTACATGATGTCGTGGCAGTGGGATGACGTGGTGCGCTTCTGGCGCGCGAGCGGCGCGTCGGAGGATCAGATCACGTCAGAGGAGTTCGAATCGCTGCGCGAGTGGTGGAGCACGAGCGCGCGCTACTGGCAGCGCGACGGCCGGCTGGACGGCAAAACCCTCTGGGACGTCGTCGAGATGCTGCGCCGCTGGGAGCTCGACGGGTGGTTTAGGGTTTTCGAAACGGCTATGAGTCCGGAGATGGAATTTGCGTTAGAATCGGTGGTGGAGGGGAAGGAGGAGACGTTTGTGGGGGAGGAGTGGATGGATCGACTCACTCCGCGCGGGATCCGCGAGGCGAACGAGCGCAGGCTGACGGGGGATACGGGCGCGCGGGGTCTGCTGGGCGCAGGGGACGCGGGGGTGGTTGACGTGGGCGGGGAGGCGGGGGGCTTGGAGGGGGAAGGGGAAGGGGAGGGGGAGGGGGAGGGGGAGGTGAGTGAGGAGGAGAGGAAAGGGGTGGAGCAGCGGTGGAGGGAGATGATGGAGGAATCGATGGTGCGGGTGCTGCAGGGACAGACCACCGTGCCCAATGGCGCTGCTGGTGCTGCTGGTGCTGCTGATGGTGAGAGTGGTGAGAGTAGCACCAGTGGCAGCACGAGGCGCGCGAGGAGCAGCAAGTGGGTGGGGGCGCGGCCGGGGGACCTGCCCTCGCTGACGCACCGCCCGCCCCGTGATTGGCCGCCGCCAGGCTGGCAGGTGGACGCGGATGAGCTGGCAATGATTCACGGCGCGACAGCGGTGGAGAAGGGGGGCGGTAGAGGGGGAGAGGCGGGTGCGGAGGAGGAGGAGAAGGTGAGGGAGGAGCGATGGGTGGTGTTTATGAAGCAGTACGAGGCATGGGTGCAGGCGAACAAGGACCTCCTGGATGAAGAGGCTGCCGTTGTGAGTCATGCCTTGCCATGCCTTGCCATGCCTTGCCATGCCTTGCCATGCCGTGCCACGCTTTGTGATTGCGGGCATGGTGTGCTTTTGCGTCCGTCCTTCCACTCAAACTTATCTTCCCCCTTTCATGTCTGCATATCATGTGTGTGCGCGCGCGTTTGGGGGTGGCGGTCGTGGCTGGGTTGCCGCCGCGAGTGAGATTGTTCTTCGCGTGAATGGATGTATGGTGATTCATGGGTGCATGGGTGCATGGGTGCATGGGTGCATGGGTGCGTGGGTGCGTGGGTGCATGGATGCATGCTGGTCTTACCCCATGGGCCTACAGGCGGACCCCATATACTTCCCAGGGCGCAGGAAGACGGGCAACAAGTACCGCCCAGGACTCGTATGCGCCTTTCCCCCCGCTCTCCCTTCTCCCTCTCTCTCTCTCCCTCCCTCCTTCCGTGATTTTCATCCTCGTTATTCCTCACATGTTTCACTTGCAGCAGAAGCTTGTTTCCTGCGTCCGGCCCTTGTGCTCTTGCTTCCCCTCCTCCCTCACTCCCCATTGCCTCGTTTGATACCCTCTTCTCACCACTCTCCCTCTCTCACACATTCCCACTTGTCCCCCTCCCTCGGGCAGTACGAGCTGCCATTTGTGGAGGCGGGGCAGGTGTATGCGGGGCGGGTGACGACCATCAACCTCAACGAGGGCTGCTTCATTGACATCGGTGCCGTGCATGACGGGTGCGTGCCCCTCTCCCTCTCCCTCCGGCATGCTGCCAAAAGCCACCACATGCCAGCCACCCTGGAGGTTCCTGAAGTCTTGAATCTGAAGGAATGTTGCCTTCTGCCGTCCTGTCTGCTCCTCCCTCCTTGTGGTGTGGTATGGTGTGGTGTGGTGTGGTGTGGCAGGTGGGTGCCGATTTACAACGACGACTGGTACGAGCTGCGGCAGGTGCTGGCCATCGGCACGCCCGTACTTGTGGAGGTCACGGCCAAGCGCGACCCCTTCCGCTTCCGCTTCCCCATTGAGCTGCGCCTGCTCAACCCCGACGTGGATCACATGATGTGAGTGAGGTGACTGTTGAGGCGCCTCAAAAGGCCCCTTCCGCTTCCGCTTCCGCTTCCGCTTCCCCATTGCGCTTCGCCTTCTCAACCCTGACGTGGATGACATGATGTGAGTGCGATGAGATTGGTGGGATGACTGACCTTGTGGGATACACGGCAGCAAAAGGTGCCGCTTGCACCCCGCGAGGGGAAAGCACATGCAAAGTCTCATTGGTACCTGCGGCACCATCCGCATTCCCAATTCTTGCGGCCACATTTCCAGCCTACTTCCTACAACCCACCGTGTCTTTTCCACTCTCCCATCTGCCCCGTGTGTAGTAAGTCGACTTTTGAGTCGACTCAAAAATCGTGTGCCATCCCCATTCTCCCTTTCTCGTATCCCTCTTTCTCCCGCACCCCGTCTTCCCCCCCTCAGCTTCCGGCGCCAGCGCTACCCCCCACATGCGCCCATCTTTTCCCGCGATGGGGACTTCAACCTCAATGAACTCGCCGTGAGTCACTCCCCTCCTCCCCCTTTCCCTTTCCCCCACCATCCTCTTGCTTCCCTTCCCCCGTCTTCCTTCTCCCCCCTCCCCTTCCCCTCCTCTTCTATCCATTACCCTTCCTTCCCCCCTCCCCTCTCCCTTCACCCGCTTTCACAACCACCACGGTTCTCTAGAACAGTTAAAGACAACATCCAACACAGCTGCCCTTGCTCCTTCTTACGCCACACCCCCTATCCTCTACCAATCCCCATCATCCCTACCCACCTCCCCCCAACCCTCCACTTCCAGTTTGTACCCAACCCCAACTCCCGCTTTTCCACCCCACTCTTTCCACCTCCCGCTTCCCCTCTGCTTCCCAATGGCAGGTGGAGGTGCGGCGGCCGAAGCTACCATTCGTGAAGAGGGCGTTTTTCCCCAACCGTTGGGAGCGGCTGTTTGTGGAGGAGTCGGAGCAGCAGGAGGAGGACTTCCGCCACCCCTACGTCCAACACGTGAGCCACCCCTACGTCCAACACGTGAGCCACCCCTACGTCCAACACGTGAGCCACCCCTACGTCCAACACGTGAGCCACCCCTACGTCCAACACGTGAGCCACCCCTACGTCCAACACGTGAGCCACCCCTACGTCCAACACGTGAGCCACCCCTACGTCCAACACGTGAGCCACCCCTACGTCCAACACGTGAGCCACCCCTACGTCCAACACGTGAGCCACCCCTACGTCCAACACGTGAGCCACCCCTACGTCCAACACGTGAGCCACCCCTACGTCCAACACGTGAGCCACCCCTACGTCCAACACGTGAGCCACCCCTACGTCCAACACGTGAGCCACCCCTACGTCCAACACGTGAGCCACCCCTACGTCCAACACGTGAGCCACCCCTACGTCCAACACGTGAGCCACCCCTACGTCCAACACGTGAGCCACCCCTACGTCCAACACGTGAGCCACCCCTACGTCCAACACGTGAGCCACCCCTACGTCCAACACGTGAGCCACCCCTACGTCCAACACGTGAGCCACCCCTACGTCCAACACGTGAGCCACCCCTACGTCCAACACGTGAGCCACCCCTACGTCCAACACGTGAGCCACCCCTACGTCCAACACGTGAGCCACCCCTACGTCCAACACGTGAGCCACCCCTACGTCCAACACGTGAGCCACCCCTACGTCCAACACGTGAGCCACCCCTACGTCCAACACGTGAGCCACCCCTACGTCCAACACGTGAGCCACCCCTACGTCCAACACGTGAGCCACCCCTACGTCCAACACGTGAGCCACCCCTACGTCCAACACGTGAGCCACCCCTACGTCCAACACGTGAGCCACCCCTACGTCCAACACGTGAGCCACCCCTACGTCCAACACGTGAGCCACCCCTACATCCAACACGTAAATTTTTTTATCCAAGGCACTGTAAATTTTGCCCCAGCTCCAGTTCGTTCCGTGCACCCTTGCACCCCCGTCTCCCCCGCCCTCCCCCTCTCCAGGTGGATCGCATACAGGGCAGGGAGCGGAACGCATGCTGGTGCAAAGAGTAATTCCAAGGCGCCCATACAGGGTGCTGGATAGAATCATTCCTTTGCCTCCATTTTGTTCCTCTCCCCCCCTTGCCTCACCTTTCTGTCTTCACCCGCCCTCCCCCTCCCCAGGTGGATCGCATACAGGGAGCAGAACGCATGCTGGTGCAGAGAGTGCGGAGAGGGGAGGCGGTCACATCTGATGACGTGGCTCTCATGCTGCCTGAGGTAATGCACCACTCGGAGGGGTGTTTCCTGGCGAGAGCTCTGTGTGTGTGTGTGTGTGTGTGTGTGTGTGTGTGTGTGTGTGTGTGTGTGTGTGTGTGTGTGTGTGTGTGTGTGTGTGTGTATGTGTGTGTGTGTGTGTGTGTGTGTGTGTTTGATATCTTATACATTACATGAATGCAAAGACATCGGCAGTCGTAACTGGCGAGAGCTGTGTTCTGTTGCTTCTGCATGTGTTGTGTACTTGTGCTTATCTTCGCAGTTTCAGTTTTCCAGTTTATATGCATGTCTGAAGATGCTCTTGCTAGTCGTTGCTATATGTGCATGTGTCTCATCATGGCCTTTCCACTTACCTGCCCTATTCCCCTTTCACTCATGTTTCTCCTTCCTCTCTCCCTCCCTCTGCCTCTCCCTCCCTTGCCTTTCCCTCCCTCTGCCTCTCCCGCTCTCCCTCTCTCCCGCTCTCCTCATCTCCTGCTCCCCCTGTCTACCTGCTCATGCACTGGTGGCGACGAGGCAGCCTGCAGACGCAGCTCTGGTGGATCTAGCAGCAGCAGAGGAGGAGCTTAAGGTACCGCTGGTGGGGGGAGAGGAGGTGCGGGGAGGGGGTGGGAAGAGGGTGCACGCATGAACAATTCACGGGTTAAATTACCGTGTCAATTTAACAGTTGAGGCAGTATGCGTGTGTCAAAACTTTCTCCTGCCAGCCATCTACCTCAACACGAACCACACAGCAGCATTCGGTTCCAGCAGCACCCGGCTCTCGCAAGCACCCTCTCTCTCTCTCCCTCCGTTTGCACCCACCCCCTCTATGACTCAAACACCAGTGGGATGAGGAGGAGGCGGCAGCAGTAGCGCGGGGAGAGGTGGTGGACGCACCTCCCTCGCGCCATGACGTGCTACGGGCGTCCCTGGCGACCGTGCATCAGCAGCGCCTGCAGGCTGAACAAGACGCTGTCACCCGCGACCGCGCCGCGTGAGCATGGGGGGAAGGGGGGAGGAGGCGGGGGGAAGGGGTGGGAGTCGGGGAAGAGTGGGGGGGAGGGTAGTGCGGGAGGTGCTCAGTCGTAGGAAAACAGTAGGGGGTGGCATCAGCAGCGCCTGCAGGCCGAGCAAGATGCCGTTACCCACGACCGCGCCGCGTGAGCTATGGGAGGGGAGGGATGTGGAAGCATGGGGATGGGGTGGGTATAGTAGTGGGCGGGTGCTCCTCAGTCTGGAACAGACAGTAGGGAGTATGCTGTTCATTTGCTGAGTCCAGTGGGAATGGCAGTTGGACAGTCAAAAGGGAGAGGAGGTGGGGTTGGTTCCTCCTCAAATTTCCTGCGCCACTCTCACTCTCAACTGCTTCCAACTTCTTTCAACCGCCCTGTGCTTCCCCTGTCAACTCCACGCCCTTGCTTCTTACACTTTCGCAACCCCTCAAACCGGGCAGGCGCACGGAGGTGGGGTTGCCGGTCTATGAGCCCGGGAGGGAGAAGCTGGTGCGGCAAATAGGTGGCGGCAAAGAGGAGTGGTGGCGCTACATGTCGTTCCTCTACACCGCAGTGGACCTCGCTCTCTTCCCCAACGGCATTCCAGATGAAACTGCCGCCAGGCAAGCAGCAGACGAAGCTCTCATCAAGGCTGTTGTGGGCTCTGCACCACCCTCCGCTGCCACACCCTCTACTGGTTCTCCTCCGAATGATGGTGCTCCAGGCGACCTTTGAGGTGGTTTTAGGATGGAGATGGGAGATGTGAGATGTGAGATGTCAGATGTCAGATGTTTGTGCTGAAAGGAGTGGAGTGGAGTGGAGAAGGTGCCTGATTGCTGCTGCAAGTGCTGCTGGCAGCTGCTGCTGTGTGTGGTGTTGTGCCAAGCTGGCGACAAGTCGAAATCGCAATGTGCAGCAGTGACAGGCCTGTACGGCATACCGTATCATGCACTGGGCCTCTGCGTAGTGTACTGTGCTGTATTGTACTGTTCTTTCAACCCCTTTTTAACAAATAAGTTGTAAACACCACCATCTTGAGCATCTCTGATCCAATTTCACATGGTACTAAAACCATATTTTTTCTGTAAAAAGCAGTAGTATTACTTACAGCTGCGTGTCACATTTCAAAGCTCCTCCACTGTCTAGCATTGGGCGACTGAACAAAAGAGCATCATTTCCATGCACTGCAACGTACCGAATAGCGCAACGAATCCAACTACAGCGTCGCGGCACTTCATTATGCAACTCAAAACTGTGATTACAGGCAGGCACCTATCCAACACAAGGTATCATGGTCGCAAAAGTGTACAAGACAATGCAGGTGAATTTTGAACAGGTGAACAGGTGCTCCTTGAGAAGTTTTCTCCGTGCAGTACCGGTACGGTATGTTGCTTTGATAGCTAACCACCAGCAACTGCTGCTACTTCAGCAGTTGCTGCCATGACTAACATGAGCCACAACTAACTGTTATTCCTCCTGCCGACACTGCTCTTCCTGCCAACACTGCTCCACCTGCCATGACTGCTCCACCTGCCCGCGCCATTTCAAAAGTGATTAAGGCATCACCACGTTGGTACCATTATTGCCATGTGCGATGTGACAGATCAATCCACCGAAGGTGGCAACAGGAGCCACACCACCACTGCTGCTGAGCGCACCACACTGCAGCCCCTGCACAGCACTGCACTAACTGCCGTCGCCCACCGCACTTAACTACTGGTAACCCCTTTAGCACTGCTGCTCAGGGCGCTGCTGCTTGCACCACCGCCGCACCATGCCTTGTCAGCCAAGTGACTGACGACGCCTGGTCTCTCCCAACCGAGAATAAGAGCAGAGACGAAGCAGCAGGTGAGGAACAGATTGCCAGATACCACTTGCCAGATAAGACACTCTATATTTGTTCACATGCCAGATAAGCACCCAATTTTCTCACGCAGCATGGCCACTGGTCGCAGGAAGAACAGAGGAGGAGGTAGACAGTGCAGGAAACAGCAGGTGGAGAGAAGCAGCGACAGGCGGTGAGAGGCAGCAAAAGACGGCAAGAGGCGGTCTAGTCAAAGAAGTAGGGCGCCTGCAACACATTGTTGAGATCGAATTGGCCCCGGCGTGGCACATTGGGGAAGTCCAGGTGCGGGTACTTCTCCCTGAACTCCTCCAACAACTGGTGTGGTGATCGTGATCAAAACATGTGGGGGAGCAGGGGAGTGAGGTAGTGTTATTATTTAGTCGAGTCCACAATCGGCACATTGGGGAAGTCCAGGTGCGAGTACTTCTCCCTAAACTCCTCCAACAACTGGTGATAAGCACACACATGGGGGAGAGAGGGGAAGCGTGGCAGGGCGTAGGAAGGATTGGGGAGGATTAGAAAGCCGCGACAATATCAGAGGGAGGGAAGAGAGAGGGACGGGACGAGGGAAACACTTTGAACGAGAAGAGCCCTTGAGCGTCAGTGTGTGCGTGCACGTGGTGTGGTTGGAACAAGGGAAATGACAGAGCGCAACGGCAAAGGATCACAACAGGTGCGGGGGCAGAGGAGAGACGCAGCGCGGCAGCGAAAACAGGGAGGCAGGAGGCAGGGTTTAGGGTACTAACGTTCTCGAGCAGGGGTTGGGAGTGGAGAGCCACGAACTGCTTCCTGAGGATCTCATTCATTCGCTCCACACTGGCCGCATGCGTCCAGTACGAGTCATGCACTCCTGTCATGCCACACACAGGGTGGGGGGGACCAGGGCCGCAAGGGGCATGGATGGGCAGGAAGCGAAGCGAGAGGTTTAAGCTTAGGATCGAGGCGTTATTGGCTGAAAAAAGCTCACGCACAGAATTGGGAGAAAACAGGCAGGCAGGCAGGCAGGCAGGCAGGCAGGGGGAGGGACAGACCGGCGAATGTGATGCGGCGGTTGTAGCAGGCCATGGCAGTCATCATCATGTGCGTGGAGTCCAGTGAGTGCACGAAGTTGGGCGGGAACGCTGACTTCTGCCGCTGCCCCACCACCTGCACGTGCAGCAGAGCCATGGGGATGTAAATGCATGCATGCATGGGTGGGCGGGTGGGTGGGTGGGTGGGTGGTTGGGTGGGTGGTTGGGTGGGAGGAGTGGCAGGTCAGGATGCAGAGACTAAGCAAGAAACCACCACCTCCCTCCCTCTCACATCCCCCGTTGTTCCCTCCTGCATTTCTAATCTTCCAATCCCATACCTCCCCAACCAGAACAAACGTGGCCACACATTCCAATCTACAAAACAAACAATGGAGGCTTAGTGCGTCGAGTAAAAAAAAACATTTATCCGACTTTAAAGCAACGAGAGCGAAGGGACGTGGCTCATGTCGCGTCGCATGCGATCGTCGACGAGCGTGAAGGACTGCAGAGGCGAGGCTGACGACACGAGAGAACAACGAGCCGAGACTACGGTGGCGAGAGCAGAGCAAAGCAAAGCAGCAAGGGAGGGACGAGGCTCACGTCGCGGCGCATGCGGTCGTCGATGAGTGTGAAGGACTGCAGCGCGGTTCTGACGACCTTGCGGCCCTCCTTGCGGTACGGCTGCACCACCGGCAGCCCCAGCGGCGTGCTCCAACTCACACTCTCGTTCTCCGCTGCTATCAGCTGTGCGGGGGAACGCAGGGAGAAAGGAGGGGGAGAGGGGACGAGGGAGGGAGAGGGGAAGAGCAGGGGCGTGAGTTGATATTGCTAGAGGTGGGGGTGGTGGCGCTCGTGAGGAACGGAACGAGAGTGAACGCGGAAAAGAACTTGTCAAGATCAAATCCGCGTGAAATTTTGTCAATGAGGAATGGGACCAGAAGGAAGAGAGGAAAGCAGGAAAGGGGTAAAATGGCAGGGGAGAGTAGGAGGGGGTGGAGCAGGTGGGTGGTGGAAGGCTGGGGAGTGAAGAGCAAGAGGAAACGACCTGCGGTAACATCACAACATACAAGTGGGCATGGCGGATCTACCAAACCCCACCACCACTACAGCATGTGGCATGGATGACTCATGGCAGTGCATGGCATGGTAGCGAGGAGGCATATCACCTGAGCGCATTTGCCGAGCCATGCCATGATCTGCCGGGCCGAGTCAAACATCTGGTCCATGGCTGCTAGGGTCACCTGTGACACGCAGCACACATGGACAGGAAACAATGCAGTCATATACACACATGACACACATGACACACACACACACACACACACACACACACACACACACACACACACACACACACACACACAGACAAGCACACACGCGCACGCGCGCACACACAGACAAGCACACACGCGCGCGCGCGCACACACAGACAAACACACACGCGCGAGCACACACACACGAGCACATGCACGTGCAGAAAAAAACACCGATAAATGAGAACACGTGCCTGGGAGCTCTCAAAACACACAACCCTCCCTGAGCCTGAGCACGCAGACTGGTTTCAATCAAGACGCTTCTCTACATGGCAAGTTCTTCAATCAAGACGTTTCAATCAGACGCTTTTCAATCAGCGGACACAACCCACCCTCGCAACACCTCCCCCCACCAGCGCCTCACCTCACTCCACCAGCACCCACACTCGCAGCACCTCACCTCACTCCACCAGGACCCACACTCGCAGCACCCCACCTTGGCGGCATACGCCGACGCGGAGTAGAGCTGGTGGTCATCATCCGTGAGAGACCGCTCCTTGATGCGGTTCATGATCTGTGTGCGCGCGCCTACAAACGTCACCCCGTACACGGACGTCATGACCGTCTGCTTCACCAGCTTGCGGTCCACCTGCCCCGCCAGGAACCGCGCGTGCACGCCGCGCCTCCTCGCCTCCGCATCCACACCACTGCTGCCGTCGCGATCGTCTGTTATGTCAATACTACTTCTGCTGCTGCTTCTCGTGCTTCTCTTGCTGTCTCGCCTGGACTTGTCACCTGCTAGTCTGAGCGAATCGGAGCTGCTGCTGCTGCTTGCATCGTCTTGGTCGTCGTCACTGGAAAGCAAAGAAGCAGCAGGGTCGTTCCCACTGCCCCACTCCTCCTCGTCTGCTCTACACAAGTCCCCGCTGCTGCTACCACTGCTGCCGCTGCTGCTGCTGTCGCCAAGAATGGAATCGAGAGCAGCAATGTCAGCAGCCGAGATAGCATCCCCATCGCCACGCATGGCCTCGCCTCCATCCCTCCCCTCCCCCGCATCACTACTGCAGGTCGCAGCATCGGCCAGCCCATCTGCCCCCCCCACACGGCCCCTCTTCCCTTTGCTAGCGCGCTGACTGGGACTGCGCGGCGGCCCGTGGCTGCTTGCCACGTCACCCTGCATCACCTCCTTCACCAGCTCAGCGATGCCCGTGTACACGTCAGCAGGCCGCTCGTTGCTCACCATGTTCACGGACCGTGCACCTTCCTGCCAGATGGGTGGAGATAGCAGGTGAGGACATGTGTGGTTGGGGGAAATGGTTGGGAGGAGGGGTTGGGAAAAGGGGTCGGAGGAAGGGAAGGGACGAGATAGGGATGCGAGCGGGGTTGATTGAAGGGCATTGGATTGCACAGGGACTGAAAGCAGACGTGAACGTGGAATCAAAGGCAAGCGCATGACCACACGCCTGAACCATTCACCCACCACATCCATGCAGGCCCCGCACTCACGTCCCACATCCCTGCCCTCCACTCACCACACCCCTGCCCTCCACTCACCACATCCCTGCCCTCCACTCACCACATCCCTGCCCTCCACTCACCACATCCCTGCCCTCCACTCACCACACCCCTGCCCTCCACTCACCACATCCCTGCCCTCCACTCACCACACCCCTGCCCTCCACTCACCACATCCCTGCCCTCCACTCACCACATCCCTGCCCTCCACTCACCACACCCCTGCCCTCCACTCACCACATCCCTGCCCTCCACTCACCACATCCCTGCCCTCCACTCACCACATCCCTGCCCTCCACTCACCACATCCCTGCCCTCCACTCACCACACCCCTGCCCTCCACTCACCACATCCCTGCCCTCCACTCACCACATCCCTGCCCTCCACTCACCACATCCCTGCCCTCCACTCACCACATCCCTGCCCTCCACTCACCACATCCCTGCCCTCCACTCACCACATCCCTGCCCTCCACTCACCACATCCCTGCCCTCCACTCACCACATCCCTGCCCTCCACTCACCACACCCCTGCCCTCCACTCACCACACCCCTGCCCTCCACTCACCACACCCTGCCCTCCACTCACCACACCCCTGCCCTCCACTCACCACACCCCTGCCCTCCACTCACCACATCCCTGCCCTCCACTCACCACATCCCTGCCCTCCACTCACCACATCCCTGCCCTCCACTCACCACATCCCTGCCCTCCACTCACCACATCCCTGCCCTCCACTCACCACACCCCTGCCCTCCACTCACCACATCCCTGCCCTCCACTCACCACACCCCTGCCCTCCACTCACCACACCCCTGCCCTCCACTCACCACACCCCTGCCCTCCACTCACCACACCCCTGCCCTCCACTCACCACACCCCTGCCCTCCACTCACCACATCCCTGCCCTCCACTCACCACATCCCTGCCCTCCACTCACCACACCCCTGCCCTCCACTCACCACACCCCTGCCCTCCACTCACCACACCCCTGCCCTCCACTCACCACACCCCTGCCCTCCACTCACCACATCCCTGCCCTCCACTCACCACATCCCTGCCCTCCACTCACCACATCCCTGCCCTCCACTCACCACATCCCTGCCCTCCACTCACCACACCCCTGCCCTCCACTCACCACATCCCTGCCCTCCACTCACCACACCCCTGCCCTCCACTCACCACATCCCCTCCCTCCACTCACCACATCCCTGCCCTCCACTCACCACATCCCTGCCCTCCACTCACCACATCCCTGCCCTCCACTCACCACATCCCTGCCCTCCACTCACCACACCCCTGCCCTCCACTCACCACATCCCTGCCCTCCACTCACCACATCCCTGCCCTCCACTCACCACATCCCTGCCCTCCACTCACCACATCCCTGCCCTCCACTCACCACACCCTGCCCTCCACTCACCACATCCCTGCCCTCCACTCACCACACCCCTGCCCTCCACTCACCACACCCCTGCCCTCCACTCACCACATCCCTGCCCTCCACTCACCACATCCCTGCCCTCCACTCACCACATCCCTGCCCTCCACTCACCACATCCCTGCCCTCCACTCACCACATCCCTGCCCTCCACTCACCACACCCCTGCCCTCCACTCACCACATCCCTGCCCTCCACTCACCACATCCCTGCCCTCCACTCACCACATCCCTGCCCTCCACTCACCACATCCCTGCCCTCCACTCACCACACCCCTGCCCTCCACTCACCACATCCCTGCCCTCCACTCACCACACCCCTGCCCTCCACTCACCACACCCCTGCCCTCCACTCACCACATCCCTGCCCTCCACTCACCACATCCCTGCCCTCCACTCACCACATCCCTGCCCTCCACTCACCACATCCCTGCCCTCCACTCACCACATCCCTGCCCTCCACTCACCACACCCTGCCCTCCACTCACCACACCCCTGCCCTCCACTCACCACACCCCTGCCCTCCACTCACCACACCCCTGCCCTCCACTCACCACACCCCTGCCCTCCACTCACCACACCCCTGCCCTCCACTCACCACATCCCCTGCCCTCCACTCACCACATCCCCTGCCCTCCACTCACCACACCCCTGCCCTCCACTCACCACACCCCTGCCCTCCACTCACCACACCCCTGCCCTCCACTCACCACACCCCTGCCCTCCACTCACCACATCCCCTGCCCTCCACTCACCACATCCCTGCCCTCCACTCACCACATCCCTGCCCTCCACTCACCACACCCCTGCCCTCCACTCACCACATCCCTGCCCTCCACTCACCACATCCCCTGCCCTCCACTCACCACATCCCTGCCCTCCACTCACCACATCCCTGCCCTCCACTCACCACATCCCTGCCCTCCACTCACCACATCCCTGCCCTCCACTCACCACATCCCTGCCCTCCACTCACCACATCCCTGCCCTCCACTCACCACATCCCTGCCCTCCACTCACCACATCCCTGCCCTCCACTCACCACATCCCTGCCCTCCACTCACCACATCCCTGCCCTCCACTCACCACATCCCTGCCCTCCACTCACCACATCCCTGCCCTCCACTCACCACACCCCTGCCCTCCACTCACCACATCCCTGCCCTCCACTCACCACATCCCTGCCCTCCACTCACCACATCCCTGCCCTCCACTCACCACATCCCTGCCCTCCACTCACCACATCCCTGCCCTCCACTCACCACACCCCTGCCCTCCACTCACCACATCCCTGCCCTCCACTCACCACATCCCTGCCCTCCACTCACCACATCCCTGCCCTCCACTCACCACATCCCTGCCCTCCACTCACCACACCCCTGCCCTCCACTCACCACATCCCTGCCCTCCACTCACCACACCCCTGCCCTCCACTCACCACACCCCTGCCCTCCACTCACCACATCCCTGCCCTCCACTCACCACATCCCTGCCCTCCACTCACCACATCCCTGCCCTCCACTCACCACATCCCTGCCCTCCACTCACCACATCCCTGCCCTCCACTCACCACATCCCTGCCCTCCACTCACCACACCCCTGCCCTCCACTCACCACATCCCTGCCCTCCACTCACCACACCCCTGCCCTCCACTCACCACACCCCTGCCCTCCACTCACCACACCCCTGCCCTCCACTCACCACACCCCTGCCCTCCACTCACCACACCCCTGCCCTCCACTCACCACATCCCTGCCCTCCACTCACCACATCCCTGCCCTCCACTCACCACACCCCTGCCCTCCACTCACCACACCCCTGCCCTCCACTCACCACACCCTGCCCTCCACTCACCACACCCCTGCCCTCCACTCACCACATCCCTGCCCTCCACTCACCACATCCCTGCCCTCCACTCACCACATCCCTGCCCTCCACTCACCACATCCCTGCCCTCCACTCACCACACCCCTGCCCTCCACTCACCACATCCCTGCCCTCCACTCACCACACCCCTGCCCTCCACTCACCACATCCCTGCCCTCCACTCACCACATCCCTGCCCTCCACTCACCACATCCCTGCCCTCCACTCACCACATCCCTGCCCTCCACTCACCACATCCCTGCCCTCCACTCACCACACCCCTGCCCTCCACTCACCACATCCCTGCCCTCCACTCACCACATCCCTGCCCTCCACTCACCACATCCCTGCCCTCCACTCACCACATCCCTGCCCTCCACTCACCACACCCCTGCCCTCCACTCACCACATCCCTGCCCTCCACTCACCACACCCCTGCCCTCCACTCACCACATCCCTGCCCTCCACTCACCACACCCCTGCCCTCCACTCACCACATCCCTGCCCTCCACTCACCACATCCCTGCCCTCCACTCACCACATCCCTGCCCTCATCACCACTCCCTGCCCTCCACTCACCACACCCTGCCCTCCACTCACCACATCCCTGCCCTCGACTCACCACATCCCTGCCCTCCACTCACCACATCCCTGCCCTCCACTCACCACATCCCTGCCCTCCACTCACCACACCCCTGCCCTCCACTCACCACATCCCTGCCCTCCACTCACCACACCCCTGCCCTCCACTCACCACACCCCTGCCCTCCACTCACCACATCCCTGCCCTCCACTCACCACATCCCTGCCCTCCACTCACCACATCCCTGCCCTCCACTCACCACATCCCTGCCCTCCACTCACCACATCCCTGCCCTCCACTCACCACATCCCTGCCCTCCACTCACCACACCCCTGCCCTCCACTCACCACACCCCTGCCCTCCACTCACCACATCCCTGCCCTCCACTCACCACATCCCTGCCCTCCACTCACCACATCCCTGCCCTCCACTCACCACACCCCTGCCCTCCACTCACCACATCCCCTGCCCTCCACTCACCACATCCCTGCCCTCCACTCACCACATCCCTGCCCTCCACTCACCACATCCCTGCCCTCCACTCACCACATCCCTGCCCTCCACTCACCACATCCCTGCCCTCCACTCACCACATCCCTGCCCTCCACTCACCACATCCCTGCCCTCCACTCACCACATCCCTGCCCTCCACTCACCACATCCCTGCCCTCCACTCACCACATCCCTGCCCTCCACTCACCACATCCCTGCCCTCCACTCACCACATCCCTGCCCTCCACTCACCACACCCCTGCCCTCCACTCACCACATCCCTGCCCTCCACTCACCACATCCCTGCCCTCCACTCACCACATCCCTGCCCTCCACTCACCACATCCCTGCCCTCCACTCACCACATCCCTGCCCTCCACTCACCACATCCCTGCCCTCCACTCACCACATCCCTGCCCTCCACTCACCACATCCCTGCCCTCCACTCACCACATCCCTGCCCTCCACTCACCACATCCCTGCCCTCCACTCACCACATCCCTGCCCTCCACTCACCACATCCCTGCCCTCCACTCACCACATCCCTGCCCTCCACTCACCACATCCCTGCCCTCCACTCACCACATCCCTGCCCTCCACTCACCACATCCCTGCCCTCCACTCACCACATCCCTGCCCTCCACTCACCACATCCCTGCCCTCCACTCACCACATCCCTGCCCTCCACTCACCACATCCCTGCCCTCCACTCACCACATCCCTGCCCTCCACTCACCACATCCCTGCCCTCCACTCACCACACCCTGCCCTCCACTCACCACATCCCTGCCCTCCACTCACCACATCCCTGCCCTCCACTCACCACATCCCTGCCCTCCACTCACCACATCCCTGCCCTCCACTCACCACATCCCTGCCCTCCACTCACCACATCCCTGCCCTCCACTCACCACATCCCTGCCCTCCACTCACCACATCCCTGCCCTCCACTCACCACACCCTGCCCTCCACTCACCACATCCCTGCCCTCCACTCACCACATCCCTGCCCTCCACTCACCACATCCCTGCCCTCCACTCACCACATCCCTGCCCTCCACTCACCACATCCCTGCCCTCCACTCACCACATCCCTGCCCTCCACTCACCACATCCCTGCCCTCCACTCACCACATCCTGCCCTCCACTCACCACATCCCTGCCCTCCACTCACCACATCCCTGCCCTCCACTCACCACATCCCTGCCCTCCACTCACCACATCCCTGCCCTCCACTCACCACATCCCTGCCCTCCACTCACCACATCCCTGCCCTCCACTCACCACATCCCTGCCCTCCACTCACCACATCCCTGCCCTCCACTCACCACATCCCTGCCCTCCACTCACCACATCCCTGCCCTCCACTCACCACATCCCTGCCCTCCACTCACCACATCCCTGCCCTCCACTCACCACATCCCTGCCCTCCACTCACCACATCCCTGCCCTCCACTCACCACATCCCTGCCCTCCACTCACCACATCCCTGCCCTCCACTCACCACATCCCTGCCCTCCACTCACCACATCCCTGCCCTCCACTCACCACATCCCTGCCCTCCACTCACCACATCCCTGCCCTCCACTCACCACATCCCTGCCCTCCACTCACCACATCCCTGCCCTCCACTCACCACATCCCTGCCCTCCACTCACCACATCCCTGCCCTCCACTCACCACATCCCTGCCCTCCACTCACCACATCCCTGCCCTCCACTCACCACATCCCTGCCCTCCACTCACCACATCCCTGCCCTCCACTCACCACATCCCTGCCCTCCACTCACCACATCCCTGCCCTCCACTCACCACATCCCTGCCCTCCACTCACCACATCCCTGCCCTCCACTCACCACATCCCTGCCCTCCACTCACCACATCCCTGCCCTCCACTCACCACATCCCTGCCCTCCACTCACCACATCCCTGCCCTCCACTCACCACATCCCTGCCCTCCACTCACCACATCCCTGCCCTCCACTCACCACATCCCTGCCCTCCACTCACCACATCCCTGCCCTCCACTCACCACATCCCTGCCCTCCACTCACCACATCCCTGCCCTCCACTCACCACATCCCTGCCCTCCACTCACCACATCCCTGCCCTCCACTCACCACATCCCTGCCCTCCACTCACCACATCCCTGCCCTCCACTCACCACATCCCTGCCCTCCACTCACCACATCCCTGCCCTCCACTCACCACATCCCTGCCCTCCACTCACCACATCCCTGCCCTCCACTCACCACATCCCTGCCCTCCACTCACCACATCCCTGCCCTCCACTCACCACATCCCTGCCCTCCACTCACCACATCCCTGCCCTCCACTCACCACATCCCTGCCCTCCACTCACCACATCCCTGCCCTCCACTCACCACATCCCTGCCCTCCACTCACCACATCCCTGCCCTCCACTCACCACATCCCTGCCCTCCACTCACCACATCCCTGCCCTCCACTCACCACATCCCTGCCCTCCACTCACCACATCCCTGCCCTCCACTCACCACATCCCTGCCCTCCACTCACCACATCCCTGCCCTCCACTCACCACATCCCTGCCCTCCACTCACCACATCCCTGCCCTCCACTCACCACATCCCTGCCCTCCACTCACCACATCCCTGCCCTCCACTCACCACATCCCTGCCCTCCACTCACCACATCCCTGCCCTCCACTCACCACATCCCTGCCCTCCACTCACCACATCCCTGCCCTCCACTCACCACATCCCTGCCCTCCACTCACCACATCCCTGCCCTCCACTCACCACATCCCTGCCCTCCACTCACCACATCCCTGCCCTCCACTCACCACATCCCTGCCCTCCACTCACCACATCCCTGCCCTCCACTCACCACATCCCTGCCCTCCACTCACCACATCCCTGCCCTCCACTCACCACATCCCTGCCCTCCACTCACCACATCCCTGCCCTCCACTCACCACATCCCTGCCCTCCACTCACCACATCCCTGCCCTCCACTCACCACATCCCTGCCCTCCACTCACCACATCCCTGCCCTCCACTCACCACATCCCTGCCCTCCACTCACCACATCCCTGCCCTCCACTCACCACATCCCTGCCCTCCACTCACCACATCCCTGCCCTCCACTCACCACATCCCTGCCCTCCACTCACCACATCCCTGCCCTCCACTCACCACATCCCTGCCCTCCACTCACCACATCCCTGCCCTCCACTCACCACATCCCTGCCCTCCACTCACCACATCCCTGCCCTCCACTCACCACATCCCTGCCCTCCACTCACCACATCCCTGCCCTCCACTCACCACATCCCTGCCCTCCACTCACCACATCCCTGCCCTCCACTCACCACATCCCTGCCCTCCACTCACCACATCCCTGCCCTCCACTCACCACATCCCTGCCCCTCCACTCACCACATCCCTGCCCTCCACTCACCACATCCCTGCCCTCCACTCACCACATCCCTGCCCTCCACTCACCACATCCCTGCCCTCCACTCACCACATCCCTGCCCTCCACTCACCACATCCCTGCCCTCCACTCACCACATCCCTGCCCTCCACTCACCACATCCCTGCCCTCCACTCACCACATCCCTGCCCTCCACTCACCACATCCCTGCCCTCCACTCACCACATCCCTGCCCTCCACTCACCACATCCCTGCCCTCCACTCACCACATCCCTGCCCTCCACTCACCACATCCCTGCCAAGTGCCGCATAATGCTGCAGGCCGTTGCACGAGCCATCCTGGTGCACAGGCAGGCTGGACACAAACTTCTCCGGGCACCCCGAGTCCACCGCACTAACAATCTCAATGCACGCCGCCAGGCACTGGAACGGGTCCTCCGCCTCCATCCACCACCCGCCTTCCTCCCCCAACGGATCCTCCGCCGATGCCCGCACCTTCTCCATCCGCTCATCCACATATTTCACTCTCTCGTCAAAGCTCAGCTTGTCTGCGCCGCTCCCGACGAGGTTAGCGAGGTGGATTTTCAGCCACCGGAGCCCGCACGGCCCCAGGGGCTTCCCGTCGGCGAAGCGGAGCAGGCCGCGGCAGTGGTCGGCGCCGAGATGGTTGAGGTGCGGGTGCATGGGGTAGGCGCGGCCTCGGAAGTCCAGGTTGTGTGGGTAGTAGAAGCGTGGTTCTGATGCGTACTGACGTGCCACCTGCATGCAAGCAGACAGGAGGAGGCGCAGGAGGTGCAGGCGGAGAGGAGGGCAGGAGGAGGAGAAAAGGTGCGGTAGGTGAGACAACATGCGTGATCGCAGTAGCCAGGTTGTGTGAGCGGTAGGAGCGCCGGCTCTGAGGCATCTCAGCAGCGCAGCAGCCCGTGGCAGTGGTCCGTCCGCACCAAGGTGGTGGTTATGGTGCGGGTGCATGGAGGGTGGCGGCGTCTCAGAGCCTGAGTTTTTCTTTTGTTTTGAGGCGCCTTAAAAGTGGCGGCGTCACAGAGCCTGAAATTCGGCCGGCCGACAGCTTACCTCGAGCTTGAGGCTGAGGTCCTGGTGCATAGAGTGGGGCTCAATGTTCTCCCTCTCAAGGCGCCTCACATCTCGCGTCATCGGCGAAATTTCTCTAGATAAGAGATTCCAGTACGCACCTCGAGCTTGAGCCTGAGGTCCTGGCGCATGGAGTGGCGCTCCATGTTCTCCTTCACCGCCTTTTTCCTCGCCCTCCGCCACGCCTTCCTCTCCTCCTCCGTCGCCCCCTCCCCTGGCTCCTCCGGTACCGGTACCTGCCAGGGGGGAGGAAGACGACGGGGGAAGAGATGGGCGGGAGAGGGGAGGGATGGGCGGGATGTGGGGGATGGGGGGGAGAGGGGGAGAAGGTCCGGGAGGGCAGAGGGGAAAGCGTGACAAGGATCGGAAGAAGCAACAAGGACTCGGATAGGAAAGGGTAAAAAATCAAATAGAAGGCACAGCAAGGCAAAGGAAGAGGGAGGAAAGCAAAGGAAGAGCGAGGGGGGGCGACGAGCGACGTTCGAGTCGACTCAGAAACCACCGCGATGAGTGGACTGTGGACTGTGGACTGTGGACATGTCATGTCATCATGGAGCGAGGCAACGTACGTCATGTCTCTCAACGAGGCCCGCCTTGCCCCCGCCGTCGAGCCAGATCTTCTCCAGCACCTCTAGTACCCTCTCGTTGATGCGCCAAGGTGTGGACCCCAACACGTTCAGCGCCTGATGGAGCGGTACAGGCACACGGAGGGAGGGGGGGGGGGTGTGAGGAGGGGTGGGGATGGAGCAAGAGGGGCGTGTGTGTGAACGAGGAGGAGGGGGAGGGGAGGGGAGGGGAGATGAGAAGAGACGAGAATGTAGAATGTGGGCGAAACAGCAGGAGAGTCGAGGCAGAAAGCGGATCAGATATCTTGCAGCGAGCGAGCGAGCGGGGTACTGCATGCAGGGCAGGCAGGGCATGAGAGACAGAGAGCACGTGAGGGCAGATATCTTACCCGAAAAACTCGGCGCAGCCTGGCAGGCTCGGTGCGCTGCAGCACGTTGCGCTGCTCTGGGTTGCCAAAGACCCGCATTATGTTGTTGGGCAGGAAGAGGTACCCGCCCCAGTTGTACCTGCACGGTGGGAAAGAGGGAGACAGAGAGGATGCAGAGAGGATGCGTGCGGAGGACACAAAAGGGAGAGATGGTAGCGGGAATAGCAGGGGAGGGAAGGGCGGAGGGAATGGCATGGGGGCAGAACTCTGAAAGGGACACTGGGATTAGCGAGTGCAAAGAACGTGCATGTCCGCAGACTTCCCCCCTTCCCGATTTGCTCAATATCAGCCTCACAACCTCTGCTCACGTCCCCCGTCCTCCCAACAACACGATCAACAGCAACAGCATCAGCATCAGCAACAGAATCAGCATCAGCATCAGCATCAGCATCAGCATCAGCATCAGCATCAGCAACAGCATCAGCATCAGCATCAGGGATCAGCAACAGCATCAGCATCAGCATCAGCAACAGCATCAGCATCAGCAACAGCAACAGCATCAGCAACAGCATCAGCATCAGCATCAGCATCAGCATCAACATCAGCATCAGCAACAGCAACAGCATCAGCAACAGCATCAGCATCAGCATCAGCAACAGCAACAGCAACAGCATCAGCATCAGCATCAGCATCAGCATCAGCATCAGCAACAGCAAGAGCATCAGCAACAGCATCAGCATCAGCATCAGCAACAGCAACAGCATCAGCATCAGCATCAGCAACAGCATCAGCAACAGCATCAGGGATCAGCAACAGCATCAGCATCAACATCAGCATCAGCAATAGCAACAGCATCAGCAACAGCATCGGCATCAGGGATCAGCACCAGCATCAGCAACAGCAACAGCATCAGCAACAGCATCAGCATCAGCATCAGCATCAGCATCAGCAACAGCAACAGCATCAGCAACAGCATCAGCATCAGCATCAGCAACAGCATCAGCAACAGCATCAGCATCAGCATCAGCATCAGCATCAGCAACAGCATCAGCATCAGCAACAGCAACAGCATCAGCAACAGCATAAGCATCAGCATCAGCATCAGCAACAGCAACAGCAACAGCATCAGCAACAGCATCAGCAACAGCATCAGCATCAACAACAGCATCAGCATCAGCATCAACATCAGCATCAGCAACAGCAACAGCATCAGCATCAGCAACAGCATCAGCATCAGCATCAGCAACAGCATCAGCAACAGCATCAGCATCAGCATCAGCATCAGCATCAGCATCAGCAACAGCAACAGCATCAGCAACAGCATCAGCATCAGCATCAGCAACAACAACAGCATCAGCAACAGCATAAGCATCAGCATCAGCAACAGCAACAGCATCAGCATCGGCATCAGGGATCAGCACCAGCATCAGCAACAGCATCAGCAACAGCATCAGCAACAGCATCAGCATCAGCATCAGCATCAGGGATCAGCAACAGCATCAGCAACAGCATCAGCAACAGCAACAGCAACAGCATCAGCAACAGCATCAGCATCAACAACAGCATCAGCATCAGCATCAACATCAGCATCAGCAACAGCAACAGCATCAGCAACAGCATCAGCATCAGCAACAGCATCAGCAACAGCATCAGCAACAGCATCAGCATCAGCATCAGCATCAGCATCAGCAACAGCAACAGCATCAGCAACAGCATCAGCATCAGCATCAGCAACAGCAACAGCATCAGCATCAGCATCAGCATCAGCAACAGCAACAGCATCAGCATCAACAACAGCATCAGCAACAGCATCAGCATCAGCATCAGCATCAGCATCAGGGATCAGCAACAGCATCAGCAACAGCATCAGCAACAGCATCAGCAACAGCATCAGCAACAGCGTCAGCATCAGTATCAGCATCAGCATCAGCATCAGCAACAGCAACAGCAACAGCATCAGCAACAGCGACAGCAATGGCAATAGCAAGAGCGACAGCAGTGGCAGAAGCAAGAGCAACAATGGAGTCACGTACCTGCGCCATTCCCGCGGTGGCACAAGCATGGGCATGTAGGGCATGAAGGGCACGTGCTGCAATGCCTGCACGCCAAGACAAGTGAAGGTAGAAGGGCAAAGAAGCAGGAAGAGATAGAATGAGACAGAGACAGAGACGGGCAGGGTGAAGAAAAGGATGCAAGGGAAAACTTAGATACGCACGACCCATCTTGTCACTGCCGCACACATTTGAAGGAGAGGCACACGACCCATCTTGTCATTGTGTTGTTCTAAGGCATGGCGTCTTACGAAGTTGTCAAGAATGTCACTGAGCTCTGTGGCGCATGCCACCACTCCGTACCGCTGATGCGCGCTGACCATGTGCAGCAGGACACACATGGGTGGGAGGGAGGGTAGGAGAGTGAGGGAGGATGGCATGTGACCGAATGAGACCAGATGGCATGGGGGGACGCGAAGTGAGGACCGACAAATGGAACGAGAAAACCAAGAGGGAGAGGAAAGTGCACCAAGATAAGGAGCAGGCATGGTAGTCGTGCTGCTTTGCTGCGCTGCGCTGAGACACGTGGGATGATTTGCAGGGCAGGGCAGCACTCACCCGCCAGTGCCCAGTTTCACTCGATCCATCACAAACGCCGGCACAAACTCCTCCTCTGCCGCACCCCCCTCCGCCGCACCATTCTTCCCCTCACTCACACCCTCGCCTTCTTTCTTTCCCTTCGCTGCTCCGCCGTCTGGACCACTATCCCCTTCCCCATCCCCCTTCTTCTTCCCCGTCAGCAGCGACTTGGGCACGTGAGCGGACTGCAGCAGCAGCTGGATGAGGCACGACCCCACCTGGACATAATGCTCCGTGCTCCACGGCTCCTGCGCCTGCGCTACAGCCGCCGCTACAAGCCGCTTCTTCTGCCACTCCGACAGCTGGCTCTCCTTCCTCAGCTTCCGCAGCACGTCCCTCTGCTGCGCCATGCGCTCCATATCCACCTCCGCCTCCCCCGCCCCCGCCAACGCCCCCGCCCCCGCCTCCCCCGCGCCCCCGCCCCCCTTCCCCGCTTTCCCCTTCCCCTTCCCCTTCACCCCCGCGCCCTCCGCCCCTGCTCCTCCCACGGCTCCTTCCACCGCTCCTCCCCCTGCTGCTCCTCCCCCGTCCGCAGCCTCCGCGCCTGCCTCCGCCTGCTCCGCGTCTCTAGCAGCCTGTTGGCGCTGCTTCTTCTTGAGCACGCGCATGCTCCGCCTCACCTCCTCCTGCACGCGCGCCAGGTTCATCTCCACCTCCACAGCCTTCCCAATCTGCGTCGCCAGAGACACAGCCTTCGCAAACGACTTGTGCCCTTTCTCCGTCTCCCCCCGCACCCCGCCCCCGCCCCCACCCCCGCCCGCGCCCCCCGCGCCCCCGCCGAATCCCCCCTGGCGCTGCCCCTGCGCGCCGTCCCTGCCGCGCGCCATGCGCACCTGCTCCGATAGTAGCAGGTCCACAGTGCGGTTCAGGGTGATGGCTGCGAGCTTCTCCGCGTCTACCTTCACCAGAAAGTCCCCAAACACCTGTAACGCGCGGTCCGCGCTCGTCAGCTGACCAACCCCCGTTCCCCCACCTCTACTCTTCCCACTGCTGCTGCTGCCGCCGCTGGCAGCACTGCTGGACGGCGCGCGCTCCCCCCCGGTCTCATAGCGCGCGCGTTCCTCCAGCACGGCGCTCTTGAGGCGCGCGAACCACTGCGACATGAGCTGTTTCCCCATGCCCGTGCGCGGGCCCATGCGCTTCTTCATCATCTCCTGCTGCTCCCGCCGGTACTCCTCCGCCGCCTTCTTGAACGCCTCTACCTCGCGCTGTCTCTGCCTCTCCTCGTCCTCCGCGCGGACCTTCAGCTTGCTGCGCCGCTCCTCCACCTCCTCCAGCGCCACGCGCATCAGCTCCGCCACCCGCGCGCGCCACAGCGCTTCTTCCGCCACCGGCATGCCCCCGCGCCCGTCCCCGCGCTCCAGCGCCTCGTGCGCGCTCGCGGCAGCTGCGCCGCCAGCGGCGGAAGACACTGCCGCCGCTGATGAGGATGATGGCGCAGCGGAAAAGATTCCGCCAAGCGCGGAATCTGTGTAGTGCCGCTGCTGCGCCAGCTGCACCTGCTGCTGCCGCTGCCGCTGCTGCTGTCTCCGCTGCTCCTTTCCGCCAACCAAACACTGCTGCCTTGCGCCGTCCCCGCACTCCCCGCCTCCCTCCCCTCCTCTCCCCCTCACCCCTGAACCCGAAACCCTGCCGCTGGAACTCGGCTCGGCGCGCTGCGGATCTGAGAATCGTTCCGCCACCAGTTTTTCCCAGTTGGTGCTGCTAAAATCGCCCCCAGAAACCCTAATGCTCTCGCTTAAACCCTCCTTCAGGTTGCTGCTGCTCTGACCCTGAGCGCGCTGTAGCTGGCCTAATCGGAACGAGCCACGTCGGATGGGGTCCAAATCTAACGTCCACATAGGCTCCGTGTCCTCCGCTATTGCCTGCCCCCCCACCTTCGCCTTCACTTCTACTTCCGCTTCTGCTCCCCACGCAACTGATCCCTCCGCTGCTCCTGCATCTGCGCCTCCCGCTGCGCCTACTTCCGCCTCTGCGCCAGACACCTCTGAAACCGGCTGGGGGACGCCTGCAGGCGCAGCGGTTCCGGAAATGCCCCTGCCGCGCGCATTCCCTTCTCCCACCTGCCCAACCCCGCTCCCCCCAAGCGCGCCCCCAAGCCTGCGCAGGACCTCCTCCCGTCCCCCGCTTCCGCCCGTCGCGGGCGCAAACCCCCCGCCCTTAGTGAGCGCCAGTGACCAGGGGCCAGCGCTCGGATCCTGCCTTGGCCCGTTGACCGCGTTGACCGAGGTTCCACTGGTGGCAGCGTCCGGTGCTGTCACCCACGTGTCGATGACGTGGAAGACGGAGGTGGGGCAGACGGCAGCGAGCAGTTGCCGACAGGGCAGGGCCATACTGGTGGCTAGCACCGCTGCAGGCGCCGATTTCGTCGCCGCTGCCGCCGCCGCCGCCGCTGTCGCTGCCGCAGAGGCGTTGCTAAGATGCGATCTATCGGAGGGGAATAAATGCTGCGAGATGCTGGGATCTATCAACGCAGGCGGGGGCGCGGCGGAGGAGGCGGCGGAAGGGGAAGAGGAAGGCGCCGGAGACGGGGAGGAGACCGAGGGAACGGCGCCCGTGTGCACATGCTGACGTGGCATATCTCGCACGTGTGGCGCCTGCGATGCGTGTCGGGATGACGTGGACGGTCGGATGGGGCCTACCCGGGGAGCTTCGATGGTATTCAGGGTTTTAGAGATATCGAATCTTTGTGAAAGTGACGGGCTGGGAGAGATCCCTTCTCTTTGGCGGCGTTGGCGGGACGCAAGAGGGGAAGTGGGTCGATAAGAACGAGACCCTCGGAACCTAAGGGCACGAGATCCGGAGTGAGAGGGGTAGAAGGCGGCACGGGAAGGGTGCAAGTGGGAGATCCCGGTTCCCCATCCCGTGGCTGGACTCGAGAGAAGCGCGGAGACTGCGTGCGATGAGCGACTCGTTATTGGAACCGCCAGATCCGCCGCGTTTGGCGCGCCGGACGACACGCGGCTGGCGAGATCACAACCGCCGCGCAACAACCCAACATCCGCACCTTCACAGCTCCGCACTGCGGCACCGCTGTCAACCCTGGCGGCAAAGGCGGCGCTGCTTGCGGCGGAATTGGCTGCGCCATCCGCGGAAGTCGAGGAGGCGCTCTGCCGCGCGGGCGAAGCTTCCCAGAAGCTCTGCAGCTGTCCGGCCTGCCGCCGTACAGAATTCTTTCCTCTGTGAAGCGTGGCGCTTGCCGTGGACGAGAAAGGACTCCTCCACATGGCCGCACGCACTGAGACGAGATTGTTAACACGCTACCGAACAAGGCATACGAAACACGGACAACAACGCGCGCTGAGGCCTGACGTTTTGAGAAATTACTACTAAGCCGCGAGCTGCTGAGGGTAGCTGGCAGTGGGAAGATGATGAGCCTGGCGCCAAGTTGCGAAGGGAAAAGAGGTAAACTACCCATGCGTGTGCACGGGGAATGGGGCGGAATGTGCGTTTTAAACGATGTGCCAATAATGAGGGACGCTGTCTAGGAAGGATTGCAGCGTAGCGATGGTCCAATCCCAAACTTCGCAAATCTTGTACAGTACAGCTAAGGGTCGTCGCACCTTCTGCGACTGTTTACCCTCCAACTTCATTCGCAGTGAACGACGCGGCAGGCTGTGGCTGGCTGGCGACAGAATGTTAGAATGTCGTCGCGTGCTGGTTCTTTTCAGTCTAGCGTATTGTGGCGGGTACGTCAACAGATCCTTCGCAAAAGACGTCAACTGCCACATGTTGGGCTGACTGATGCCTGTTCCTCGCAGTGGGATTTACCATAACTAAATCCTGCTTACCTGGCGTCGCTTGATTGGCAGGAAGGCCCTGAAACCAACTCACAACAACCCCAATCTAGGTACAGCACCATGAAAACATTATATATTAAGAAAAAACCTAATAAGTATGAACAATTTAACCCATCTATGGTGAGTCACTGAGGTTTGGAACTAGAGGCATCAATACCAGATGTTGATAGGATTGGAGCCTATCGGCAGGAAAGAATTGGAAGAAGGGAGAAACTGGGAAGAGGAGACTCATGATGGGGGAGGACAACTGTGCCAGCGCTAAGAAACTTGCACCAGCCATTGAAATTGCTCCGTACACCTGCAGATGTCCCCTGATTACACATTCCATGCCATGTGCCACAGCACCCACACACCAACTCCTCATAAGTCATCTTGTGTCTTATGGAGCCCCAGCAGATGTGACAGAGGTGGGCAGACCCTTGGCCTGCATGGTCTTGAGAGTGTTTGAAAGCCAGTCCAGCCCCTCATAGAGACCCTCGCCCTTGGGAGCACATGTGCCCTGAATGTGCCAGTAACGGTTCCGCAGCTGTTGCAGCCCCATCGTCTCACACACCTCCAATGGCGACAACGCGCCTTTCTGCCAACGAGAGAGCACGTGGGGGTTGTAGGAGGAGAGGAGGAGGATCAGAAAGGATAGAAAGCAAGAGGATAGAAGAGCGGAAGAAACAGGTTGAGAGTGCAAGCGGAGTGAAGCTGTAGACGAGTGGGTTTGTGGCTGTGTGGAGGAACAAGCTGCAATTAGCACAGGAAAGAAGAGGCAGACGAGAAGCAGCGCGGAGAGGCTTTGGCCTGCAGGTACAGGGTACAGAGTGCACTGACCAGGTCTTGCTTGTTGGCGAAGACAAGGATGGCGCTGTTACGCATGAGGGGATCGCTCACTATCGTCTGATGGGGGGGAGGGAGGATAGGAACGCATGGAGAACGGAGGGGAGAGAAAGAATGAGAGAGAACCAGGGGGAGGGGAGGAGAGAGAGAGAGGGGAGGGGGGGAAGAGAGGGGCTACAGCATCGTACTGTCCCACCTGGAGGCCACTGAGCTTTTGTTCATTACCTTGCCGCCAGGGCGGGCAGTGGCGCTCAGTGCATAGACGAACACAGTGCAACACGCAGGCTAAGCTGAGGTGGTCGACACCGTCCAACCTATTAGTGCTTGTTACTTACTCCACATCCTGGGGGGACTCTGGGTTACCTTGGGGACCCCAGGCGGTAGGTAGCTAGACTTCAGCCTTACCTCACATGTGTACAGGTCATTCATATATATATATATATATATATATATATATATATTATAAACAAAAAAAAAGAGGGAGCCACAACATGTTGGGTGGTTTAAGACAGGGGAAGGTGTTGGAGGACCTCGGGAAAAGGGAGATGCTGTCATAGGAATACACTGAGTGGGCATGCATACAAAAAACAGCAACGCCGTGTGTTGAGGTAGGCGCGTCACCTGGAATTCACGAGCTGCTTGTTTCACTCGCTCTTTATCAAGAGAGTCCACCACATAGATCTGAGAGGGCGGGCACACAAACAGCAAGACGGTGCCGGTGTTGGTGAAGCATGGCACACACTGACTCGGTGTTGGTCAACAACACGGCATGGTCTAAATCAGGGACAGCCTGAAACAATTGGCACAACAATTGTGGAGCGCACAATACTTCGTCCGTCCTATTGTCAAGGCATAAGCAGAATCCATGTGGCTGAAAAAACCTCTAGTAAAGCAGAACCGCCGCCGCAGGGAACGGCAGCTGGCCCATGGACTGCTCTTGCATCTGGTGCATGCACACCCCCACCACAGACAGGGTGACCTGGTCATCTGGTCGTCCGTTCATCATCTCACGCGGGAACAAGCTCCACCGTTGGCCACCAACTCATCTGTCCCAGGGCACTGCACGCAGACTTTTGAATACAGAAGGAACCCCCAGTTGGCAGTGCACGTACCAGGGCGTCGGTGTTGTTGAAGTAGTGGCGCCACAGGGGGCGCAGCTTCTCCTGGCCTCCCACGTCCCACACCGTGAACTGCACGTTCTTGTACTGCACCTTCTCCACGTTGAACCCTGCCGCCGTGCACACATCCCGCACACCATACACAACGCACACACAGCACACAACGGACACACAGCACACCGTGCACCGCACACACCCCACATACCGACAACACCACAGCACAGCACCTCAAAATTACCCATGAGGACACAAATCCTATGCTGTTTCAATGACGAATGCAAAACGTAGGAATTCCAGACCCCAGTAGACTCAGCACACGGACGTAATTCGGTTTCTTTCCCTTATCTTGCTGCTGCTTTTCCCCCACTCATGCTGGAACAGGGATGGATGGTGGCACTCACCGATGGTGGGGACAGTGGAGAGAATCTCGCCGATATGGAGCTTGTAGAGGATGGTCGTCTTGCCTGCTGCATCCAACCCTAGCATGACAACCTGTGATAACAGGAAAGTGGAGAAATGGTTAATGGGGGTAGGAAGCAAGGAAGGGACTGAAGGTGCAGGAATGGGGTGACTGGTCAGCAGTGACTAGTGAGCAAGTGTGTTTCTCAATAGAGGAGTGAGAGCACAGAGAACCAGAGAAGCATTAGGTCGAGAAAACGGCGGATTAGTGGGAAACGAGCGGGTGGAAAGAAAGCAGAAACGCGTACGCGCATTTCTCTGTTGCCGAAGATGGAATCGAACAGCTTCCTGAACGCCTGCCCCATGGTCGGTCCCTCCACACGAAGCTCCCTTACTTCGCGACGCTGGGCCTTGATACAACACACAGCCTGAGCTTGGGAGAAGTCATGTGGGGAATTAGCGGCACGGTAAAGGCATCGAAATGTGAGAAACGTCGAATTGTAAATTGAAATAGACGTCTTGCGAAAAAGGATCTCATTATGGCAGATCTAGTTCTGTAAGGTAGGAGGAGGCTCAAAACGGCCAGAGAGTACGGCGTTTGAGGCGAAGAAAGAGGTCGATCAAGCCCCCGCTTACCGTTTAAAGGATGATTGTACTAAGTCGAGAGTTTTACGCACAGCTGATCGCGCCCAAAAAGCAAGTCTGGCTTGAGAACGAACCTACGCTAAGAACGGCCCTCTCAAGGACGAGCTGGTGCCAACACTAAGTCCCTACTCTACCACTACGTTTAGGACCACGTCGAGGCCATTAATCTCACAGCATCGTACGTGCTACGATACCATAGTGGAGCGAACAGACCACCATTCAGATCGCAGAACAAAACCACCAAATCCTTGGGCGTTCAGCACCACCAGACGCGGAAAGGCAGCAACACGGAATCTCAGGAAGCAATTGAAAAAAATAAAAATGACGACAGCTAAAAGATACGAGTTCCGCAAATAGATTCTGATCAAGGGACATTCTGCGTCTCGTCTTGTTCCCTCGTGTCTCTCTGCTCCTCTCCCCTCCCCCACCTTCCATCAATGATTTTCCTAGGTGCGACAGAGCAGATCAATGCCGTGGTCTAGTCGACGTGGCATTTCCGTTCTGACAGCTTCAAAACGAACCGCCAACCAAAAGTTCTTGGCAGAGGCAATCCAACGGTTGCTTGGAACTCTCACGAAAAAATGATTCGTTATAAAGATAGGCCCCACTTCGGGTCAAAACAATGATGTGTAAAAACAGTCGAGTAGTTAACTATTTATTGAATCACCCAAAGCCATTGTTTATCCCATTTATCTCCTTTCAAATACCATCTTCACCCAGCACCTCTATCCCATCATCCTTGCCTTCAATTTTCATTCTAAAAACACTTCCTACAATGTTTGTTCCGTTCTATACTGCAATCAGGGCCTCAGATTCGTTTTTAGCTTGGCTGATACGTCAGCCTTAGCAGGCTATGCTGGGCTGATCAATCAGAGTTGGTTAAAAAATAAAAACTGAAATTTCAGACAAGTCACAAAAAAAAACGCTGACTAATCAGCCTCACTAAAAAACGCAGGCTGAACTGGATTGGTTCTATGTTTAGGGCACGCACATAGATGCAGGTTCGGGGTGGGTGAGATGGGGTGAGGTGGGTGTCCTTGTCGTGAGTGCGTGCGGTGCGTTGCTGTGCTGCACTGGTGGTGGGTGATTGGCGCATAAGGGATGTGACAACCAATCACATCAATTAAAGCATTCTGTCGGTGACAACGAAGCACCGACGCGTCGAGGAAATTCGTTTTCCCCCGCGTCGGCGCTGTACATGGTGACTTTTGCGTGATTGACAGGTGGATGTACCTGGACAGCCGAAACTCATGGCTCTGGCACGAATCTGTAATAGCGTGAGAGTTCTGCCTACACTCTCGTTATAAATCAGCCAACACTTGTAAAAAAACGCTGGAAAATCAGCCAATACATTAAAAAAAACATGAACAATCAGCCAACACTTCAAAAAAAAAAACTGAATTATCAGCCAACACATCAGCCACAAGTCTGGGAAATCAGCGTCCAGACCCTAAATCAGCCTTTTTTCGCTGACTTCTGAGGCCCTGACTGCAATATAGCGTTTCCAATGTCCATGCCATCTTGTTTCATCGGTCATGTTAGCTCGTGTATTCGTCTTTGCCACATGTTATAATAAGGAGATTGATACAAGGTGAAAGGTAACAAGGTAAAAGTACAATCAGGTTGCGAACGGCCAGGACAACGCGAAGAGTCTCGTACAGTTGGAGCATCTGGACTATAAGCGGCAAAAGCATCAGGCAACTACATCGCCAAAAAAATAGGTGGGAACCAATCCAGTTTATTATCAAAACAATCACTCTGATAGGCCTGTTGATGTTGGAAACAATCGATCTTTGTGAGAAAACGAGGAATGATTGACTAGAGGAAAGGTTGGGTACAAGTACAAACCCTAGAAATGTGTTGTACCCCATATGTGCTACCCCACTATAGCCTATATAGGCTAAGTCATATAAGTCTGACACACCCCCATAGGCAAAGTGGGGGAGAACAAGGGGTCACAAGACCAGTCAAGCAAAGCAAAGCAAGCTCAGGGTGGATCACAACATCACCACACATTCCGAGCATAATTTCAAGGCCACAAGGCCAGTTCACATGCAAGATTATATATAAAGGTAAACAAGCAAGTGCAGGTATAGAAAGATCACAGTACAAGCAAGGTCAACAAGTGAGCAAGTGAGGCCAAGTAGGCACAAGACCTAGCATCGTACAGCAGTGCTGATGATCACAAGGCGGAAGTGCCTTGTTAAAGATATCAGCAGTGTTGGCCTCAGAGGCCACGTAAGCAAGGCGCAGCTGACCACGCTGCTGCAGCTCACGAGCAAGGAAGTAGCGAAGAGCAATGTGCTTCGTTCTGTGCTCAAGTCTGTGCTCCCGACACAAGGCCAGCATGGCCTTGTTGTCTACGTACGGAACTGGAGGAGAACGAGGCGACTCTCCTAGGTCAGTCAGCAGGTAGGTGAGCCAGCGTAGCTCCTGTGCAGCCATGGCTCCCGCGTAGATCTCAGCCTCACAGCTGGAGCCGAGAACAGAAGACGAGCGAGTAGACCGCCACGAAACAAAGCCGGAACCAAGGCTGAAGGTGTAACCCTGTGACGACCGCTGCGTAGCCTGGTCGTCAGCCCAAGAAGCGTCTGTGTGACCTGTGAGGACCACTAAAAGCCGCCCTCCAAGCACTAGCCCCATGCCCGACGTACTGCACAAGTAGCGCAACACCCTCTTCGCTGCAGCCATGTGCTCTGGTCGGTGTCTTCAGGAGCAACATAGCGTGCCAAGATGCTAAGAGGGTATGCAAGGTCAGGTCGTGTGCAGGTCATCAGGTACATGAGGCAGCCAACAAGCTCTGGGTACGGGCCACTCGGCTCTACGGACTCATCCGAAGGCAGAGCTGAGAGCGAGTGGCGAGTAGGCAGAGGAGTGGCCTGAGGCGAGGAGTACGTGAAGTCAAAGCGCTGAAGGACCTGCTGCACCATGTGTGACTGAGTCAAGGTAATGGTGCGCTGTGCTCTGTCCCGGGTGATCTGCAAGCCAAGGTAGCTGCGCAGTTCACCCAGGTCTGTGCACGTGTGTCTCTTCTGCAGCTTGGACTTCACATGGGCGAGTCCAGGAGTGTCAACAGTGGCAAAGACCAAGTCGTCGACGTACACGAGGACGTAGAACGGCGGCAAAGAGGTGTCGGTGCGCAAAAACAGCGACGGGTCGGCAGTAGAAGGAGCAAACCCAAGAGCCGCAAGTGTAGTCTTCGATGTGCCGTGCCACTCACGGGGCGCCTGGCGGAGACCGTAGCCTGGCCGCTGGAGGCTCCACTGGGTACCAGGAGGAAACGACCCAGTGAAGCCAGGTAGGCAGCGCAGCTATATCTCCTCGTGCAGGCTGCCCTGCAGGAAAGCTGTGCTGAAGTCAAGAGAGTGAAGCTCGTAGTCGCGCTGAGCGGCTATGTGCAACAGCACCCGAAGAGTGGTCATCTTCGGGGTGGGAGAGAAGGTCTGAAAGTAGTCAACTCCCTGCCGCTGACTGAAGCCTCGAGCCACGTAACGCGCCTTGAAGACAGGCGGAGAACTCGGCGGCCGCTTCACCCTGAAAATCCACATGCCACTGACGATGTTCGCCCCAGGTGGGGGAACCTCGTCGACGTAGGTGCCAGTGGACTTCTAGGAAGCCATCTCTGCGTCCATGGCTGACTGCCACTGTGAGAAGTAGGGACCCTCGATCGTCTCAGCATACGATCGAGGAGTCGGGATGTCTGGTGCATCCGGGTCTCCCTCAGGGGCAATCAGCATGGACACGAGATGAGGCAAAGCAGTAGCAAAACACTGGAACTTTTCCTGCCTGTCCTCAAAGACGTTCGTGCTAAGAGCACACTTACCCCCGACGGACGGAGGACAGACAGACTCAGACTCAGCAAGAAGACTCACGGCGTAGTCTAGACGACAGTGAGCAGCGAAGTCGACAAGCTCAACAACTAAGGCAGACGCAGAAGTGGACTCAAAGGAAGGGTCAGTGACAACAGTAGCCAGGAGACGCGTGACAGTAGGACTGGCAGCACGAAGAGAGTCAGACTCCGGGTCAGCAAGAGCAGGAAGAGAGGACTCTGGAGGAGATGGCAAAGGGAGGCGTTGCGGAGCAGTGGAAGGACGCAGTGCCATCTGGTGCGTGCCCGGGACCGCAGGAGGACGCTGACGCGGAACATGACGACTAGCGCGAACAGCACGATCAGGCGACGCAGGACGAGACGCAGGCGCATGACGCTCAGCAAGACCTGCAGTAGGACCAGTGTAGGGAGAAGGAGCAGGCAGTGGGGAGGCGGGCTGTAACTGTGACTGCGACTGGACAGGCTGTGGACACTCGAAGGGACCAGTAGAAGGCGGGAGACTAAGAACCTACTCAAGGAGCGGAACGAAGTACGGCTGTGGCCGAGCAGCGCCTCCTGAAACAGCAGGGACAGCACCAGTACCCCCAGCGGCAGCACCAGCGCCAGCAGCACCTCCAGCTCCAGCAGCGCCAACTCCAGCACTCTCAGAAGCACCAGCGCAAGTGGTACCTCCAGCACCAGCACCTCCAGCAGCTCCAGTACCCCCAGCAGCACCACCAGCACCTCCAGCAGGACCAACTCCAGCAGCCCCAGCAGCACCCCTAGTCCCAGCAGCTCCTGTACCGCCAGTACGAGCACCTCCAGGACCAGTGGCTCCAGCACCTCCAGCGCCGACCCCAGGGTCAGCAGCAACAGCAACACCCCCAGCTCCAGCAGCACGGCTCCAGCGCCTGGCAAACCACTCGCGCAGCTCCTGTGGAGAGAGTAGCTCCCGCCGAGATGAAGTACCTGAAGGACTCCTAGACCTAGCACCGCCAGAGGCCACACGAGCAAACCCAGCACCCCCAGGCTCCGCAACCCCGGGCACAGCACCTCCAGGCTCCGCTCCCCCATGCTCAGCACCCCCAGGCTCAGCACCCTAGAATCAGCACCCCCAGGCTCAGCACCCCCAGACCCCGCACCCGCAGGCTCAGCACCCCTAGCAGCACCAGAATCAACAGCTACCTCGACAGGCTTGATTGCGTCTACCTGGGACACACCTGACGGGGCAGGACCCTGAGGGGGGAAAGGGTCTACCAGGGGGGGGACCTGGCGTAAGGAAGAGTGGCGGCGAGGGGAGGGGCGCAGTGCGGTAGGGGAAGAGACGGTAGTAAGGAACCGACTCGTCAAAGGTGACGTCATGGGAGGACAGAACACGGCGCGAGGTGGGGTGGTAAAACTGCCAACCAGG